ATAGAGAGTCTGGACACTCCACCCAGGTGCCCCAAAGGACTGTGGTCTTTACGTTTTTGTTTTTGTTTTAGGTTGGTCTGGTTCTCTGAGTTCTGGAAGGTTCTGAACCTCCTTGTTCCAGGGGCTAGTGGGCCAGAGCCAGCCTGGCCTGGCCACTTCCATCTCCCAATGGAGTGTAGTCCTTAAGGTGGGAAGGGTAATGCCCTGATGGGTGGGGGCAAGGAATTCATTTGCTTTCCCTCAACCCCTTTACTCTGCACGTTCCTCAGTCGCCTCAGGATGAGAGCACAGGGGACCAGGGGGCTTGTCATTTTCTTCGCTTTCAAAATTTTTTATTTTTTGAACAACCATACAGTAAAACTGATGTTTTTTCTTTCGGCACAAGTTTTGTAAATTTTCACATGTGTAGAAATTCATGTAACCACTACCACCATGAGAATACAGAAGAGTTCTCTCTGTCATGCTATCCCTTTATGCTTTAGGGCCGGGCAGGCTACAGTCTCACTTCCTGCTGGCACTTTAAAAATATATTTTTTTAACGTTTGCTTATTTTTGAGAGCAAGAGAGCAGGGGAGGGGCAGAGAGAGAATGAGACAAATTCTAAAGGAGGCGCCAGGCTCTGAGCTGTCAGCACACAGCCTGATGCGGGGCTCGAACCCATGAGCTGTGAGCTCATGAACTGAGCTGAAGTCGGAAACTCAACCAACTGAGCCACCCAGGTGCCCCTGCCCCCGCCCCCCCTCCCCCCGCCACTGGCCCTTTAGAGCCTGTTCTTTCCAGTACGACCAAAGGTTCCTGGAAGTCCAGTCCTTTCCCATACCTGTGTTTCTAGTATCACACAAAGGCTCAAAACTTCTACACCTTTATTATAGATTAGTAGAACACAGAGCGATGACAGTGGCAGGAGAGGCCCCGGCACAGAGTTCCGTTCCAGGCAGGACTGCACAGTGCCAGCTCCGGGCTAGGCCAGCTCGGCCGGCCCTGGCAACACAGGCATGACCTTGGCCACGCTCAGCAGTGGAAAGGCTCTTGGGCAGGGTGCTTGCTGGGACATGCTGCAGCTCCTGTCACAGGACAATCTTAAAGGAGCTGAACAGGAGAAGAGTGGGTCGGGTTTTCTGCTGGAAGAGGAGGGGACACACTAACCCCAAATTTGGCCACCTCTTCCCTAAGACCCCGTGGAATGGGCTGACCCATGTCTGTCCGTCCCCTTTGGAAGAGCTGCCCTGAGCCACTGAGGAACTGGGGCTTTCTCAGCCCGGCTGCCACCTCCCGTCCCAACATCCCAGGCCCACATGCAGCAGATGGGGACCCAGAGATAACCAGAACGCAGGGGGACCAAGACCCTTCTACCTGGCGAAGTCTGGTGAACGGGAGATGACGTGCTGGAACTCCGAGAGGTTGATGGTGCCATCCCGATCGATGTCGGACTCTTCCAGGATCTGGAAGAGGGAGAGCTTTGGGCCAAGTTCAAGCCCTTCCCTCCCGCTGCCTGGCCCGGCCCGGCCCGGCTGCTTACGTTGTCGATAAGCTGTTTCATCTCTGAAACACTAAGCCGTGTGTCCTCGCCCTGTCCCGTGAGGCAGTTCACGAGTTGGCTCAGGTCTTCTCGGTTCAGGGTTCCATCGTCGTCAAAGTCTACGGACAGACACAGGAAGCCGGAAAGAATGTGGTCAGCGTGAGCTCCGAGGCTCCACAAGAGGCCCCCGGCTCCTGAGCAGGAAGCCACCACCAAGGTCATGTGGGGACAGGCCGTGACCTGCCAGGCTGCTCCCGGCCCTCACCGAAGATGCGGAAGGCATAGTGGGACTTGATGTCTGGAGTCGCCGTGTCACTGAACACACTGAGGAGGTCCAGGAAGTCCTCGAAGCTCAGGCTGTCCCTGGCCGGCGATGTGGAGAAGACCCTGCAGATTCGCTCCTTGAAGGGGTTGGCCTAGGCATGAGAGCCTTCTGTGAACACCATGGGACGTAGCCCAGGTCACACACCCCTCAAACCCTGCCGGGAACTGGAGGGAGCAGGTCCCAGTACCATGAGCTCGGACTCATGGGAAAGAATGATCAGTGCTTTGGGGCCAGCATGGAGGCCGGGAGGACCAGCTGACTGGGGAAGGGACAGGGACAGCTTCTTGGGAGTCAGTTTAACCCAAAGGCAGGCCTAGGACCAGAGAAGGAAGACGAAAGCATCCTAAGCAAAGAGAACAAGATGGGCTGGTTACTATAAAACACATTTACTTGAATGCTCGCTGTGTTACAGGCGCTAGGCCAGGCCCTTTGCATAAAATTTTCACAGCAACCCTGTGGAGTGGCAGTTGGACTCTGGAATAGAGCTTCTCAGACTTTAATACAGTAGCTCAACTCCTTTTATTTATTTATTATTATTTTATTTATTTATTTAGAGAGAGAAAGCACAAGCAGGGGAGGGGCAGAGAGAGAGGGAGAAAGAGAATCCCAAGCAGTCTCTGCACAATCAGGGCAGAGCCCGATGCAGGACTTGGGACTCACAAATTGTGAGATCATGACCTGAGCCAAAATCAAGAGTCAGACACTTAACCGAATGAACCACCCAGGCGCCCTCAACTCCTTTTAAAAGGACAAAACTCTTTTTAAAGGGGCACCTGGTTAAGTTAGTTAAGCAGCCAACTTCAGGCCAGGCCATGATCTCACAGTTGTGGGTTCGAGCCCCACATCAGGTTCTGTGCTGAGAGCGCAGAGCCTGGAGCCTGCTTTGGATTCTGTGACTCCCTCTCTCTGTGCCCCTCCCCTGCTCATACTCTCGCTCTCTCTCTCTCAAAAATGAATACCCATTAAAAGAATAAAAAATGTATAATAAAGGACAAAACTTATTTGACTCTCCAAGAATATGTGCAGGAATCTCAGTTTGAAAAACAACATTCTAGTGAATTCCACTGGGTGTTTTTGGTAAAGCCCCTGTCCCCAGGAAATTAGGGCCAAATGGAGGAAAGGCCAGAATGGGGACCCGTGACCACGTGATCTCAGGATGAAGAGCAGAGGGAGGGTGGGGGCCTGGCACCTTGAGCTCTGGAAGGCTGAGGATCTGCTCCAAGGACACTCGAATCTGCAGAGACTCCTCCATGCTCCGGTGCTCCTGGGGAAGCAGCTCACAGAACCGCCTGTGGGCTCTGGCAGAAGGAGAGGAACCTGTTGGCAAACCTTCCTGTGTGTGTTACATGCCCACTCCTTGCCTTGCTGCCAGTTATGAAGCAGGTGAGGAGCTGAGCCACATACACAGAGCTTTTCAGCCATCAGGCATAAGCCAAATGGAGACATGCCACAAGACTACAGAATGGGAGTCCATTCATGCCATGGGTATTTACTGAGGGCCTGCTGTGTGCCAGGCACTGTACTGGGACTGGTTCTAGAGCACCCTGAGGGGTGGAGAGGGTGCAGAAGGAGCCAGCAGTTGGCCCTGAAAAACAGGAGAAAAGAATCAAGTGGAAAACTCACTCTCATTTCACTCCAGGGATCTCCAGCCCTTCAAACCTCCCATTTTATTTTATTTTTTAAATTTTTTTTAATGTTTTATTTATTTCTAGGAGAGAGACAGCATGAGTAGGGGAGGGTCAGAGAGAGAGGGAGTGACAGACTCTGAAACAGGCTCCAGGCTCTGAGCAGGCAGTCAGCACAAAGCCCGACACGGGGCTCGAACCCACAAACCGTGAGATCATGACCTAAGCGAAAGTCGGACGCTTAACCAACTAAGCCACCCAGGCGCCCCTCAAACCTCCCATTTTAGCAGCTACCGTAAACGATCTCTTCCTCCGTCCGCCCCCACCTCCTTCCCACTGGGATTATTTTTGCCAAGAGAAGCCAAAGAATCTCCTCACTCAAGTGCCTTGACCGCAAAAAGCTGGCGCAGGGTTAGGAAGGGGCTTCCAGCCCGAGTTCAAGCCCTCTCTCCCTTGGAGCGTACTCTTAGGCAAGTAAACAAACTTCTCTGAAACCTGTTTCTCGTTGTTCCCATACCTCCCTCTGGAGGATTAAATTAGGTAATGTAGCCAAGCACTTCGCACAGTTGCTGGCGCAACTGCGCACGGCGAGGGCTCAGTAAGCGTTAACGGTTACTGTGTATATTCAGGTCGAGTTGCGAGGGGCCAGGGCTCCGGGGAGGCGACGTCCGCGGAGCCCCTGCCGGGCTGGGGCAGGAAGTTCGGTTACGCAGGAGCCGGCGGAGCGCAGGCTCCGGAGCGCCCAGCCCTGGCGGAGGCTGGGGGTGGCTCTGCGGGGCGCATCGGGGGGCCCCCCGAGCCGGCGGGGAGGGCAGGATCAGGGGCACGCGTCAGGGGCGCCGGGTCCGGCTGGGCCGCGGGCCCCATCCCTCCCCGGGGGGGGGGGTGGCCCTCGGTTAGCCCGTCTGTGGACAGGGCCCCCCGCGGTCGCCTCTAGAGGATCCGGGGGCTCAGGTTCGAGACGGCACTTACAGGAGGATCTCCTGCTTGGTCAGGAACGTCAAGTCCTGGAAAGCAAAGCGGGAGGGGTTCAGCGAGGCCTCCGGGAGGCCGCGGCCGCTCTGCCGCCCGCCCCGGGACCCCGCTCCGCAGTGCAGGCCCGCGCGCAAACTCCCCGGGGACCGGCGTCCCGCGCACCTGGTACTCCGCCAGCAGCTCCTTAGACAGGCGGCTGCCCGAGCCCCCCATCGCCGCGCCGCGCGCCGAACTCCGCCAACTCGTCTCGGGGCGCCGGCAACTTTTCCACTTCCGCCCTCGGGTCGCGTCACCGCCCCGTTCCCGCGGCAACCGCTCCTGGGGCCACCGCCCCCGGGTCCGCCCCCTCCTTAAAGCGCCCAGGCGCTCCCGGCCCGGTTCAGCCCGCCCGCTCCGGGCGGTCCGCGGCGAGCTGGAGGCGGGGCCCGGGGCGGGGCCGGACGCTCAGGGGGCGGAGCCCAGCCCGCACGGCCCCGCCTCTGGGGGGGCGGGGCGGGGCCCGCCGCGAGCGAGCGCGTGGACTGCGCATGCGTGCGGCACGCCGCGGCCTCGCCATGGCTGGGATAGGAGCTGGCGGCAAGTGTCGCGTTGCGTCCTGTTCGACTGCTGTCGGTCACGGCGGAGGCCTTGGGCGCGGTCCGGTAAGGGACGTCAGGGAAGTACCTGGAGCCTGGATATCCGGGAAACCTCGAGACTCGCTACGTGGCCGAAAGCGGCGGGCCGCGCATCCGCTCGGCGTGGGCTTTTTCATTCAGATGATACCGCCGTCCCCTCGCCGCACGTGTTGTAGCCCGCACGCCACCTCCAGAAGTCCCAGAACCTTCTGTCCCACTTAGGCTGTACGCAGAGTGCCAGGAGCCGTGCCTAGTGATCTTCGATTTTCACAAGGGCCCTACAGGGTAGGTTCCTATTTTACAAATGGGGAGAACAGGTCCGATGGGGGGGGGGGTTCCGTGACTTGCCTAGGCTCGGGCATTTTGCAAGAGGTCACCCCAGTCTAAGGCTCCTTCCACTGCTGCCCCTGACTGTACTACTTAACTCCAGCCGATGTGGTCTCGCTTCCAGAGGCGGTAAGGACTGAGGCTGACCTGTTTGCTCTTGTCCCCTCTCAACCCCTAGAATAACACTTGGCACGTAGTAGGCTCTCAACAAATTGGATGGGTGCATGCATGAACGAACACTAGTCCAGAAGGTGAAGGTTCCAGGTTCCTGAGAGGAGGTGAGAGTGAGATTAATTCTTTTGTTTTCAGCTTTATTGAGGTATAATTGACAAACTTGTAGGAATTCGTTCTTGATTCTCCTGATTTATTCTACTTGCTAATCTTTGTAAAGTCTAAATCTCATGTTGATTTCAGCTTTAAAATAATAATTGATTAGGGGCGCCTGAGTGGCTCAGTCTGTTGAACATTAGACTTCGGCTTGGGTCATGATCTCGCCATCCCCTGAGTTTGAGCCCTGAGTCGGGCTCTGTGTTGACAGCTCGGAGCCAGGAGCCTGCTTCGATGCTGCGTCTCCCTCTCTCTCTCTCTCTCTCTCTGTCCTTCCCCTCCTCACACTCTGTCTCTCTCTCTCTCAAAAATAAAGATTAAAAATAATAATTAAAAAATAATAATAATTTATTAAAAACCAGACTACGGCCCTCTGAGATCTGACTTCAGCCTCTCTCTGCCCTCTTCTCTTGGCTTTCTGGATTTCAGCCACAGGGGGGCTCTCAGTTCCTCAGGGAATCCTCTCCTGGCTCCCTAGACTAGATTAGGAATCTTACACTTAAAAGAATCCTCAGTGCTTCTCCTTGACAGCACTGTATTATGTTTGCAGTTTATATTTACTTGGATGTTGATTAGATTAATGTCTGTAAACCCCGTAAAGAGCTAGAATTGTGATCTACGGGATCTGATAGGTGACAGTTGTTGATTAAATGTTGCTGAGGGACTTCCCCCGCACTGAATAAGGCCTTCATCTGAAAGTGACTTTAGGAAGAGGCACTATATCAACATGTGAATCCCATAATGTGGAAATACTCCCTTCCAAGAAGTGGGGGCTGCGGAGTCATAGGAGCATCATGGGGAATGTGGCCCCTTCCCAACCTGATCATCCTGACTGTAGGCTCTTCCTGTACCAGAAAGGATTCGTCTTCCAGTAGTGGAAGGATAGGCAGAGAACAGGAAGCTGTCCTGTGCGAGACTGAGGGGAGGGAGCACTGGCCAGCCAAGGCCAGTCCCTGGACTTTGTGGGAAGACTATGTCTTCACAGTGAAGATGTGGAAATAAGCCCTGTGCATGGTGACCATCAGTGACATAGATCTCCCAGCCACCTCAAAGGTGCTAAGCCCTTCTTTGAACAACCTTCTGATTATAGTGTTGCTTCCTGGTAGATTTCTGTAGAGGAGGGACTATACTGATTAGCCAATACGAACATTTTGTGCTGTTTGGCATGTTTCTCATTATAAATGATTAAATAGGCATTCTGAGTCTGGTTACCATACTGTCCTGCCTTGCCTGAGTGTAAAACGGAGTTGCTGATATACTTTTAAAAATAGCTTCCAGGGGCGCCTGGGTGGCTCAGTTGGTTGAGAGTCAGCTTCTTTGGCTCAGGTCATGATCTCGCAGTTCGTGAGTTTAAGCCCCACATTGGGCTTGCTGCTATCAGCCTGTCAGTGAGGAGCCCACTTTGGATCTATCCTCCTTTCTCTCTGCCTCTCCCCACTTGTACACTCTCATACACATTCTCTCTCTCTCTCTCTCTCTCAAAATATAAATTAAAAAAAAAATAGCTTGTAGTGTTTCTTGTTGTGAAATTATTTTATTTATTTATTTATTTATTTATTTATTTATTTATGAGAGAGAGAGAGAATCTTAAGCAAGCTCCCCACCCAGCACAGAGCCTGACGCAAGGCTGGATCTCATAACCCCGGATCATGACCCAGCCGAAGCACCAGGCGCCCCTTAGTTGAATCTTTTTGTTTTTTTTTATTTTGAGAGAGAGAGAGAGAGCGTACACGCGTGCAAGTGCGAGAGAGGCAGAGAGAGAGCGGAAGAGAGAATCCCAAGCAGGCTCCACATTGTCAGCTCAGAGCCTGATCCAGTACTCAAACCCCTGAACCACAAGATCATGACCTGAGCCAAAGTCGGGTGTTTAACTGAGCCACCCAGGCTCCCCCTCTTCGTTGAATCTTTTAAAGCTTTGTTTGTAACTACTAACTCTTGGATTTGAATTCTACTTTTTTGTTGTTATGTTTGCTTACACATTTATTTCCCTGCTCATAATACTGTCTCCTTCTTCCTATTTCCCTTGGGACATGAGATAGGCTAGCCACCCAAGATTTCTCTGAGGCAGTGACGCTTGGTCTGAGACCTGAAGAAGCCGCCATGTGAAGAAAATCCGGGAAAAGGGTGTTGTGGGCAGGAGCACAGGAGAGAGCAAGGTCCTGAGCAGGAACAAGTCCAGTATGAGTGAGGCGCAGAGAGAGGAGCAGAGAGGGAGGCCCAGCTAAGTCTTGAGAGCCCAGAGGCCACAGCGAGGAAATGGACTTCATTCTAGGGGCTCAAGGTCACATTCCTAGTACCTGCTAGAGCTGGGATTCATGCACCTTGTCAGCCTGTGACACCTCATCTCTCACCTTTGTCCCGGGATGATCCCCACCTCCCAGACTCTGCAGGTCACCTGAGAGAACCTAGCACGTGCCTGGCACAAGACAGACGTGCAGCCAGTGTCCCCTCTCTCCTGGTTTGGTCCTGTCACACGCTCACTACTGATCGATCACTCTAAATTCTTCTTTATTCAAACGTAATGCTTTTTGCCTCCTAGTTCACTTTATTTTTTTTTTTAATTTTTTTAATGTTTTATTTATTTCTAGGAGAGAGAGAGAGACAGCGTGAGCAGGGGAGGGTCAGAGAGAGAGGGAGTCGCAGACTGAAACAGGCTCCAGGCTCCGAGCTGGCAGTCAGCACAGAGCCCGACATGGGGCCCGAACCCACGAACCGCGAGATCATGACCTGAGCGAAAGTCGGACGCTTAACCGACTAAGCCACCCAGGCGCCCCAACCTCCTAGTTCACTTTAATATAAATATGACCGTGCGCACTTCCTGTTGACTCTCTTGCTCAGTATGTCTTTTAGCCTGGTGTCCTGGGTCCTTTGTCCTAGCCCGTGGCTTTACACGTTACTCCAAATTTGTATCTAGCCCACACCTCACCCCTGACCTCCAGGTTTGACTGTCCTCTGTCTACACCACGTCTCGGATGCCCAGGGTGCATCTCAAGCTCAGTACTCAAACCTGAGCTCTTCAGTCGTCCCTTTTCCTAATCTGCCTGTGCCCGCCCCCACCCCCCACCAGCTCCACCGGCTCTGTAAATGCCCCTGTGGTGTACCTTGGCCCTGCAGCTAGGTCCCTCCCACGTCTTCCCCGTGCCTCAGTCCCCCGAGCCAGCCTGCCCGCGGGCCCTGTGGTTTGGCCCTCCAAACAGGACCCACGTCGCCTGCTCCTCTCCATCTCTGTTGCCGCCTGTGCCGTCCGGTCTCCCCCTTCGCCCGCCTGGCCTCAGAGTTGCCTCCCAAATGGTCTCCTTCCCCTTCGCTCCCCTGCATCCACCTCCCCCAGAGCAGCTAGAAGAAGGTTTGTAAAGTGTCAGATGGCCCTTCTGCTTGAAACCTCCCGGTGATTTCTTATTCCATTTAGAATAAAACCCACGCTCCTGACCGTGCTGCATAAGGCCCCGAAGCTAATCCGGCCCCTGCCTTCCTCTCCAGCCACCACCACCGCCTGTCGGCCACGTTCTCGTTAACCGGGGCTTCCTTTCTGCTCTTGAAGAGAGCAAGCACCTGCCTGACGCAGGACCTTGGACGTGCTGTTTCCTTTCCTAGAATACACTTTCCTCCTGTCGACCGTCTTCTAGTTAACCTGTTGGCCATGTTCTCATTAACAGTGGCTTCCTTCCTGCTCTTGAAGAGACCAAGCACCTGCCTGACTCAGGACCTTGGACGTGCTGTTTGCTTTCCGAGAGTACACTTTCCTCGACTCTGCATTGCAGGCTTTTGCTCATTCTGCATGTCTTTGCTCAGCTGTCACCTCAGAGAGCCGTGAGCTGCCCTATTATTGAAGTCCAATGCCCCTATCCCACCTTTGGGCTACTGCCTGTTGTATCTGGTTTATTTCTCACAGAACGCCATCACCATGAGCACCTAACGTGTTTATTTTGCTTATTGTCTGACTCTGCCGCAGGATGTAAGTTCTTTGACAGTGGGGACCCTTTTCACCTTAAGGTCCTGTGTCTTCATTGCCTCATCTGTAGCGGTTACTTCTTTAAGTAGACTCATGCCCAGCGTGCAGCCCAACACTGGGCTTGAACTCACGACCTTGAGATCAAGGCCTGAGCTGAGATCAAGGGATGCTTAACCAGCTGAGCCACTCAGGTGCCCCGGTCGTGGTTACTTGAAATAGTTGGATTTTGTGGCTCAGCTGAACATGGAGCAGGGTGCATGGGAGGGATGCCCCCAGAGCATCGGGAGTGGGCTTGGGGTGGGCCTTGACCCTGAGTAAATGAATGGAGAGTAAGCAGATCATCTTAAGTATAGCTCAAATATAGCAAAGTATTGGATTTCTTAAATCTCTTCTGAGACTCACTTAAAATTATTTTTAATTGTGGCAAAATATGCTTAAAATTTCATGTCTTAACTATTTTTTAAGTTTTATTTTTGAGAGAGAGGAAGAGGGGCACTTGGGTGGCTCAGTCAGTTGAGTGTCAGACTTCGGCTCAGGTCATGATCTCGGAGTTCGTGGCTTCGAGTCCCACATTGGGCTCTGTGCTGACAGCTCAGAGACTGGAGCCTGCTTCGGATTCTGTGTCTCCCTCTCTCTGACCCTTCCCTGCTCACATTCTGTCTCTCTCTGTCTCAAAAATAAATTAAAAAACAAAAAACAAAAAAATAAAATGAGAGAGAGAGAGACAGCAACCATGAGCAGGGGAGGGGCAAAGAGAGAGGGAGACCCAGAATCTGAACCAGGCTCCAGGCTGTCAGGACAGAGCCCGACATGGGGCTCGAACCCACGAACCATGAGATCATGACCCAAGCCGAAGTCCGATGACGTTTAACTGACTGAGCCACCCAGGGGGCTGACTTCTTAACTGTTTCTAAGTGTATCGTACAGTAGTGTTACATACATGTTATTGACCTGCCAGTCTCCAGAACTCTTTTCATCCTGCAGCACTGAATCTCTGCACCATTGAACAACAAAAAACTCATTCTTCCCCCAGCCCCTGACGGCCACCATTCTACTTTCTGTCTCTGTCTCTGTGAATCTGACTGCTCTCGGTACTGCATATAGATGGGACCGTATAGTAGTGTTCGTCCTTTGCTCCTAGCTTATTTCACTGAGCATAATGCCTTCCAGGTTCATCCATGTTGCGCGTGTGCCAGCATTTCCTTCTTTATGAGACCCAGTGATACGCCACTGTGTGAATGTACTACATTCCGTGTACCCTTTCATCTGTCAGTCGACGCTCACGTTGTTTCTACCTTTTGGCTGTTGTGAAAAGCGCTACTGTGAACATGGGTGTACAGATATCTGTTTGAGCTTCCACTGGGTTCTTTGGGAGTATGTACCCAGAAGTGGAATTACTGGGTCATATAGTATTTTTATTTTTAATTTGTTAAGGAACCACCATACCGTTTTCCAGAGCGGCTGGAAATCATTTCACATTATAACCAGCAGTGGATTCCAGTTTCTCCATGTCCTTGCCAATATTTGTTATTTTCTGGTTTTTTATTCTTTTTTTTTTTTTTTTTAACGTTTATTTATTTTTGAGAGACAGAGACAGAATGTGAGCAGGGAAGGGGCAGAGAGAGGGAGACACAGAATCCGAAGCAGGCTCCAGCCTCTGAGCTGTCAGCACAGAGCCCAGTGTGGGGCTTGAACCCACGGACCGTGAGATCATGACCTGAGCCGAACTCAGACGCTTAACCGACTGAGCCACCCAGGCGCCCCTGGTTTTTTTATTCTAATGGGTGTGACATTGTAGCTTATTGTGAATTTGATTGGCATTTCCCTAATGATTAGTGAACATCTTTTCATGTGCTTATTGGCCATTTGTGTATCTTCTTCGGGAGATATCTGAGACATTTATCTATCATTTATGTATGTATTGGTGCACGTATTTAGTTATGTCTGCATGTATACGTATGTAAAGTTTTTATTTTTTAATTAATCTCTACACTCTATGTGGGGCTCAAACTTATAGCCCCAAGATCAGAATCACATGCTCCAGGGCACCTGCGTGGCTCAGTCAGTTGAGCGTTTGACTTTGACTCAGGTCATGATCTCATGGTTCGTGAATTGGGGCCCCACATCAGGCTTGCTGCTGTCAGCATGAGTCTGCCTAAGGTCCTCTGTCCCCCTCTCTCCCTGCCCCTCCCCCGCTCATTCTTTCTTTCAAAAATAAATAAAAACGTTTAAAAAGGTTGGGGGCGTCTGGGTGGCTCAATCGGTTAAGTGACCAAGACTGGCTCAGTTTAAGCTTGGGTCGTGATCTCACGTTTTGTGAGTTTGAGCACCGCATCTGCTGACACTATAGAGCCTGCTTGGGATTCTCTCTCTCCCTCTCTCTCTCTGCTCCTTTCCCACCCTCTGTCTCTAGAAATGAATAAATAAACTTAAAAAAAAAAGTTGCGGGGAGGGACACCTGAGTGGCTCAGTCGGTTGAGCATCTGACTTCAGCTCAGGTCATGATCTCATGGTTCATGAGTTCAAGCCCCACATCAGGCTCTGTGCTGACAGCTCAGAGCCCGGAGCCTGCTTCAGATTCTGTGTCTCCCTCTCTTTCTCTCTCTCTCTTTTTTTAAATATTTTAAAAAATTTATTTCTGAGACAGAGAGAGACAGAGCACGAGTGGGGGAGGGGCAGAGAGAGCAGGAATCTGAAACAGGCTCCAGGCTCTGAGCTGTCAGCACAGAACCCAGTGCGGGGCTCGAACCCACGATCCGTGAGATCATGACCTGAGCCAAAGTCAGACACTTAACCGACTGAGCCACCCAGGCGCCTCTCCCTCTCTTTCTCTCTGCCCCTCCACTGCTCATGCTTGCTCTCTGTGTCTCAAATAAATATTAAAGAAAAAAATTTTAATGGAAATTGTTTTTTTAAAAATGGGGGGAAAAAAAGACTTGTTATTGTGGTAGAACACCTGGGTGGCTCAGTTGGTTAACCTTCGAACTCTTAATTTCAGCTCAGGTCATGATCTCATGGTTCCTGGGTTCCAGCCCCATGTCAGACTCCGATGATGGCATGGAGCTTGCTTGCAATTCTCTCTTTCTCTCTGCCCCTCCCCCATCGCTCTCTCTGTCTCTCTCTCAAAATAAATAAACTTAAGAAAAAAACTTGTTATTGTGTTATGTCTTATGTTATAAAAACATGAGATTTACCATCTTAACCGTTTCTTTTTTTTAAATATAATTTATTGTCAAATTGGCTAACATGCAGTATGTAAAGTGTGCTTTTGGTTTTTGGGGTAGATTTCCGTGGTTTATCACTTCCATCTTAACCATTTCCTTTTTCTAATTTTTTTAAATGTTTATTTTATTTTTGAGAGAGAGAGAGAGTGTGTGTGAGCAGAGGAGGGGCACAGAGAGAGGGAGACACAGAATCCGAAGCGGGCTCCAGGCTCTGAGCTGTCGGCACAGAGCCCGACACAGGGCTCAAACTCGGGAATGGCAAGATCACAACCTAAGCCGGAGTCAGACACCCAACCAACTGAGCCACCCAAGCGCCCCCCATCTTAACCATTTAGTGTAGAGGTCTGTAGTGATAAGTATATTCACGTTGTTGTATAACCAATCTTTACAACACTCTCATCTACAAAATTGAAATTCTATACCTATTAAGCTTGACTTTAAGTTTATTTGTTTATTTTGAGAGAGAGAGTGTGTGCATCTGTGAGCAGAAGAGAGAATCCCGAGCAGGTTCTGTGCTGTCAGCACAGAGGCCAACTGGCAGAGCCTACGAATTGTGAGATGACCTGAGCCAAATCAGACACCTGACTGACTGAGCCACCCAGGCGTCCCTAAACCTGACCTTTGATATACCATTTTGTATGTTTTTTAATGTTTCTTTTCTGTTTTATTAATATGAAGTTTCCAGACCAGCAGAGCAGAGGGAACCCAAACCTGAGCTGAAGCAACGCCACTGAGGTAAGCCTCCTTGTGACGTCCTGTCTGAGCCAACAGCAGGCCCTTCTCCCTGAGACCTGGGCCCACAGGGCTCCAAGGGCCCCATGGGAGATGAAGATGGGCATCGATTTCCCCCGCGAAGGATTGGCCCTGGCGCTTAAGCACACATTGGGCCATCCTCACTCAAATGGCTCTGTGCATGACCATTTTGAATCATAACTGACCAGTCGAAAGCTCTTCCCATAAAAGGAGTGGTCAGCTTTGAGACCTTGGTTATTCTTCTACAAAGGAACACTACTTCAGTTTTCTGTAGGGTGGTTTGATAGACCGTCTGGCAAAGCCTGAGCCATGCACGGGCCTACTCTGACCCAGTAGTTTATTGTAATTTTATCTTAAAGGAAAATACAAACATGTCTGGAAACAGATACACAGGATTTCATTACAACAGATACAAAATTAGCAACAACCTATACGTATAATAGTTAAAGATTGGTCAAAAAATCAAGGTCCATCTATACATGAAAATAAGGCTAAATGTAAATGGTAATTCCCCCCACCAAGGTGTTGGAATAAGGGTTTTATTTTAGGTCTGTTTTCTTCTCCATTAACAAAGTTTATGGAAGGCTTGGGAGGCTCAGTCAGTTAGTATCTGACTTTTGATCTCGGTTGTGAGTTCATGTCCCACAGTGGGACTTAAAAGAGAGAAAGAGAAGGGCGCCTGGGTGGCTCAGTTGGTTAAGCCTCCTACTTGGGCTCAGGTCATGATCTTGGGGTTCGTGAGTTAGAGCCCTGCGTCGGGGCTGGCCAGGAGCCTGGAGCCTGCTTCAGATTCTGTGTCTCCCTTCCTCTCTCTCAGCCACTCCCTCGCTCACACTCTCTCAAAAATAAAAAACATTAAAAAAAAGAAAGAGAAAGCGGGGAGGGAGAAAGTTAGTTTATTCAATATACGAACTTTTAGAAAGAATATATATATATTAATTCAGCAAAAATGAATGCTAATGTGTAGGTGATGGAATCATGAGTGATTTCCGTGTTTTCAGAATATTTTCCCAAAGGCATCTATTAGTTTCGTAATTAGAACAAAAAGTGAAATTTCTTTGAAAATAAAAATAGGGGCGCCTGGGTGGCTCAATCGGTTAAGTGTCCGACTTTGGCTCAGGTCCTGATCTCGCGGTTCGTGGGTTCGAGCCCCGCATTGGGCTCTGTGCTGACAGCTCAGAGCCTGGAGCCTGTTTTGGATTCTGTGTCGCCCTCCCTGCCCCTCCCCTGCTCATGCTCTGACTCTGTCTCTCTCAAAAATAAATAAACCTTAGGGGTGCCTGGGTGGCTTAGTCGGTTAAGCGTCCGACTTTCGCTTAGGTCATGATCTCGCGGTTCGTGGGTTTGAGCCCCGCGTCGGGCTCTGTGCTGACTGCCAGCTCAGAGCCTGGAGCCTGTTTCAGAGTCTGTGACTCCCTCTCTCTCTGACCCTCCCCTGTTCACGCTGTCTCTCTCTCTCTCTCTCCCCTAGAAATAAAAATATTTAAAAAAAAAATAAACCTTAAAAAACTTTTTTGAAGCTAAAAATAAAATCTCTGGAATGGGGTTAGCATCGTGTACCTTTCACCTCTCACGGTTGTTTCAGGTCAGCACGATGGCTGTCCCACGTGATTCAGATGAGACTTGCTATTTGCTGCCTCCAAGCAGGAAGGACTGGGAAGGGCAAGGCATTCCTGACTTTGTCTACGAGCAGAAGGAACTTGTGCTGGAAGGGATTCAGTGGCCCAGGAGCGCGCCCAGCCTCCCGGAGGACACCGTACTGCCCTCTCGCTTCGACTCTGCGCTGTGCTCTGCCTGGAGGCAGCGGATGGAGCTGGGGCTGTTCCGTTACCATCTGGGGGAGCTGCGGACGCAAACCCTCCCCGGTGCCGTGGGCTTTGTGGCCCAGCTGAACGTGGAGCGAGGTGTGCAGAGGAGGCGTCCCCAGAACATCAGGAGCGTGAAGCAGGCGTTTGACCCCGCACAGTTTAACTTCAACAAGATCCGGCCGGGGGAAGTCCTCTTCCGTTTGCTCCGGGAGCCTGACTTCCCAGGCGCTCTGCGGCAGGACGACATCCTGGTCATGATCAATGTCAGCCCCTTGGAGTGGGGCCACGTGCTGCTGGTGCCCGAGCCCGCCCGCGGGCTCCCCCAGCGCCTGCTGCCCGGTGCACTGCGGGCCGGGGTGGAGGCCGTGCTGCTGAGCTCCCACCCAGGCTTCCGCGTCGGCTTCAACAGCCTGGGGGGCTTGGCCTCCGTGAACCACCTCCACCTGCACGGGTATTACCTGGCCCACAGACTGCCTGTGGAGGGGGCACCGAGCGAGCCCCTGGACCCTGGGGGGCATCTGCACCTCCTCCGGGCCCTCCCAGCCCCCGGCTTCCTCTTTTACACTAGCGGGCCAGGGCCCGACTTAGAAGCCTTGGTAGGCAGCGTGTGTCGGGCCACTGACTATCTGACTGACCACGAGATTGCCCATAATTTGTTTGTGACCCGGGGGGCCCCACCTGGAAAGACATCACCCTCCTCAGCTCTCACAGGGGTCCGAGTAATTCTGTGGGCCCGGAAGTCCAGCTTTGGGGTCAAGGAAGGCGAGGCATTCAATGTCGCCCTCTGTGAGCTGGCCGGGCACCTCCCTGTCAAGACGTCCCAGGATTTCAGCACTCTGACAGAGGCGGCTGCTCTGGACCTCATTCGAGACTGTCTGCTGCCCCCCGCCCAGGCAGAAGAGGTCCAGGCGGCGCTGGTGGCCCTGATAGCCCAGTAAACCCTCTGGAAGTATTTATTCTCTACCCTGTCTAAGTCCCTTTCCAGAAAGCCGTCCACGGGGGTCACTCGAGCCTTTCCATGGCTGCCTCCTTGCCTGTCTCAGCCTAAGGGGCCGGGTGAGGAATTGACCAGTGGTCTCTGTAAAGAGAAGCAACCTTAGAATAAATCGAATGAATGAGCCTTCGTGAATGTATCTGCTTCTCACCTTCCGTCTTGGACAAGCCTTGGGGATGTCAAAGCTCCGACTGAGAAGGGAGTCTGCGCCAGAGTTCTGTACTCCTGACTTTACACGTGGACTTCACCTTTGACGTCACGTCTGGCAGGGCAGTAGCTCGTGTGCCTCTGGCATCGTGTCCCCGCTTCCTTCCGCTGCTCGCGCCTCTCTGCTTGTTCGCCCGGCGCCTGGCCGCCACTGGGTATCGCTTCTTCATCCCTCCCCTCCCTTCAGCCCTGCTCCACCATATGCCCTGCTTTACCCTTCCCTGCCAGGCCGCCCTTGGATCTGCCCCCAGCCCCGAGTGCAGTATTCCTCATCTGTGTCATCTCATGCGGAAAAAGATGTTCTGGAAACGTCAGCACCGCCATTTAACAACACGAGGAGCTAGAGGCTGACGGGTTTCACAGCTTGGCCAAGGCCAGGCAGCTTGTGAGTAGTGGAGTCGGGGCTGTGGCGCTGGCGGTCAGGGGCCAGAAACTCGGACTGCGCCCTTGTGACTGCCGCTCGGGTCCCTTAATGGTTGGTCCTTAACAGTTGGCGGGCCCTGAGCTGAGGTGAAGGTCCCTGGTGGTAGGCTTCTCTGTCCAGGCCTGACTGAAGCTTTTGGGTCAGACTTCAGGTGTTTTATACCCCAAAAGATGTCATAAAGTCTCATTGAGATAAAGCAGAAAACATACAAGTTCAGTCTCATTGAGATAAGGCAGAATATGTACAAGTAAAAGTTCATAAGAAGAACAGTGTAGGGGCGCCTGGGGGGCTCAGTCAGTTAAGCGTCCGACTTCAGCTCAGGTCATGATCTCACAGTTCATGAGTTCAAGCCCCATGTCGGGTTCTGTGCTGACAGCTGGGAGCCTACAGCCTCCTTCAGATTTTGTGTCTCCCACTCTCTCTACCCCTCCCCTGCTCATGCTCGCTCGCTCGCGTTCTCTCTCAAAAATAAACATTAAAATAAATTTTTAGGGGCGCCTGGGTGGCTCAGTCGGTTAAGCGTCTGAGTTCAGCTCAGGTCATGGTGTCAAAGTTCAGGAGTTCAAGCTGTCAGCACAGAGCCCCCTTCAGATCCTCTGTCCCCCCCCCTCTGCCCCTCCCTTGCTCTAAAAGAAAATAAATAAAAATTCAAAAAATTTTAAAGAACAGCTTAACATCTATATTTAAATATTACATGTTCAACATTTAAATTCCTGTAGAATTTGAGTCATCTTCCTCTTTTTGGCACCGCGCAGCAATGTTAGCTTCTGCTGCTTTCTGCAGGCCTCTGCGCATGCAAACCAGTCACACCACCTTGCTTTGCCCACCGGGTCCGAAGGACGGACGGACGACCGTTACAGCAGAGTGGATTTTGTGTCCAGCTGTTGAGCCCAAATATCAGGGTTTTCCCCGTTTTCTTCCCCCCAGGACTGCTGCTCAGAGGAATGCCTTCTCTGGCCAAACCAAGTTTTTCCTTGAAAAAGGGGGAGAAAGTCAAATAGCTTTTCTTTATGCTTTATGGTGCTTCTCAGCTGTTTTGGTAGTTCATGAATTGTCGGGGAAGGGACTTCGAAGCTTTTTCTCAGCTTAAGTGTGGAACACTCAGGGGCCACTCTGGTACCCCGCCCTGGGCTTTGCACACCACAGAAAGACAGGAAGGGATGGTCCAGCTCAGGGCTTCCACCTCTGCTTGCTTTTTGATGGTGTGTGTAATGAAGGCGTTTGGGATTTGATCTAATGGGAAACCTTGAAGAGTTTGAAACTGGGGAGTAAGAAATTTGCATTTTTTTTTATTTTTATTTTTTTATTTATTTCTAGGAGACAGAGAGAGAGAGAGCATGAGCAGGGGAGGGTCAGAGAGAGAGGGAGTCACAGACTCTGAAACAGGCTCCAGGCTCTGAGCTGGCAGTCAGCACAGAGCCCGACGCGGGGCCCGAACCCACGAACCGCGAGATCATGACCTAAGCGAAAGTCGGACGCTTAACCAACTAAGCCACCCAGGCACCCCAAGAAATTTGCATTTTAGAAAGAATACTTAAGCTGGGATGGAGGGAGGGAAGAACAATGGGAGTCCAATTTAGAGGTTGCTGCATGTAAGGTGCGCCTGGGTGGCTCCCTCTGTTGAGTTGCGACTCTTGATCTCCACTCGGGTCATGATCTCCCTTCATGAGTTTGAGCCCCGCATGGGGCTCTGCACTGGCAGCGCGAAGCCACTTGGGATTTGTGTCTCCCCTTTCTGTCCCTCCTGTAATGCTCTCTCTCTCTGTCAAAGAGGTTGCTGCATGGAGGCAATTCAGGAAAGAAATGGGGGTGGTTCAAGTCCTAGAATAGTGCCTTGGAACGCTAAATATTTGGAAATGTTATGCCCAGATCGCGATCTCCCCAAAATCCCAAGACCACCAAGGAGTCCGAGTCACGTATGCAAAAGCAAAGGGCGTTTATTCGGGCTTAAGCTCGGGCTCCCAGACCTCACCAACGCAGTGGATCGTGCTGAGAGCCCCGAGCAAAGGCAGAGTAGGGTTTTTATGGGCTTTGTGACGGGGGAGGTACAGAAGTTGTGACATGGGAACAGTGATCCAATCATAATTATTCAACATCATTGACAGCGGGTTTAACCATGCACATTGTCTAGAGTATTCGTTACTTTTGGCGGGATCCAATTACAACATTTAGAGTACCTTTAAATTTAACCAATTACAGAGCGAGCCTAGGGTCTTGTTTGGCGGGTTAACTTTAACATTAGGTAATGGGTCCTATCTATAGTTTCTATCTCCAGGCCTCTCCCTCAGTAAGGTGGAGGGCGGTCGCTGGCCTTTCCTGATTGGGTGCTGCAAGGGTGCTTTCTCCTGCCTTGGGCAATGTGTCACTGCCTGATAGTTTCGGGGAAGCTGAAACTTAGGCCTTCTAGTTCAGAGGGGAAACTTAAAGCCTGTCATGGAGTCAGTTTGGTTTAGACTTATGCCCTTACAGAAAGAATGAGAAAAAAACAAGATAGTCCTGGAAGCCAAGGGCCTCCAAATCATTTCAAGAAGGGAGTCAGAGAATATCCTATGCAGAAGGAACGTCAAGACATGTGTCAGTGAGAAGATGTCCACGTCTCCAAAGGAGGGAGATTTAAGTGTCCCCCAGATTTAGGCACACGGGGCAGTCTTACAGTGACAAGTTAGAACGGGCTTGGTGGGGGTGGCGAGCAGCAGCAGCGTTAGGACGGCAGGAAGGGCAGTGAGGGGGGCCACGAGGAGGCTGTTCTGTTACTGGGCGGAGCTGGCCCGAGCCGCCAGGGTGGCGCTTTGACAAGGTTACTAGAACTGAAGGCAGGCCAGCAGGTACTTTTCCCGAACACAGTTGGCCAAGTTCCGGGCTCGGCTCGCGGGATCCAGATGGACTGGGGTGAGACGCGTGTGTGTCGGCGCGAAGGCGTCAGGACTACGAGTCCCGCCGATGTGCCCCGTCGGCGGCCGCAGGCCCCTTGCACCTCCGCCGCCAGCCGCGGCGGCAAGATGGCCTCGGCCCGCGCCCAAGTGGGTGTGGTTCCCGGGGAGGCCCCGCCCCCAGAACGCTTCTCCAATGGGGGCCGCCCTCGTGTCCATGGCGACGACGGCGGCGGCGGCGGCTGCCCGCTTGCTCAAGGAGGCGCCGCCGCCGCCGGGATCTCTCTGCTGGGAGCGAACCCCGGGTTGGGGGTGGGGGGAGCGGGCTCCCCCTCGCGATCGGCGGGGACTGCCAGTCCTGTGGAGCAAGGAGGCGGTCCCGGAGGCCCGGCGACGCCCGGGGAGGAGGAGCCGGAGTCGCTCGAAGGGCTGACATGAGCGACCGGCTGAGTCCTGCCTCGGGCAGCTAGGGGTGGGCCCGGCAGCCCCTCCACTGTCCTCGGAACCTCGGGTGGGCAGTGTCCGCCAGGGGCTCTCTCTCTCCGCCATCAGAGCCCAAGGGGTCTTAGCCATCGAGTGCCTGGCCCCAGGGTGTACACATGGGGAAACTGAGGCATGGGACAGGGAAAGGGCCGGCTTAGGGGACCTTCGGTTTTTAGCTCTATTTTAAAACCGAAGGTCCCCTCCAGAGCCAAGCCACCGCCCTTCCCACTCAGCAATGAAACAGCCATGGTCATGATCCCTGTTCTGTCCAGCTTCTGCGTGCACCCCAGGGTGTCGTGTGGAGTACTGATCTTGGATGATCAGGGCCTGCCGGGGAATCCAGCGTCTCACAGGCATCCCCCCAGCCCCCATCACCTACTAGGAAAACGTCCCATTCTGCAGTGGGATTGTCCCTTTTCTGAAAGGGACGGCAATGCATTTCATGACTTGTGTTGCAGGCCTTCCCAGGCCTGGGGGACGGAAGTTAGGACGTATATTTCATTCTCACCCCTCTCCCCTCAGAATCTCGGGGGATGGAGCCAAATACCTGTAAGACCAGCGAATCAGAGGAGGAAGAGGAGTCTGAGGAGGAATGTGTTAAAGAGGAAGCTGCCATCCCTTCTAAGCCTGCTCAGCAGGAACCCCCAAAGGCTGACTCTAAGGAATTTGGGGATGGAGTTCCCTTATCTATCGTAGCCAAGAAAATTCCAAAGAAAATCATAGCTCCAACGGACTCAGATGACTTAGAAGTTGGGAGGAGAAAGAGAAGGCGGAAACGCAGGTAACGGGTCCCCAGTGCCCACCCCTGGCCTGGCTCCAAAAGTCATCCCTGGCCTCCCTTCAGCAGTTGGGGTCTTCCCTCTAATCTGCAAAAGAGGGGAGGGAATACAGGAACGTCATTAACCTCTGGGAACGAGAACAACACAAAATTCAGAATCATGTGAGCTGCCTTGGTTGGCAGACTTAGCACGTTTCTGTCATCTGGGTCTCCGTAAGTGGCTTTTAGAGAAAATGAATCACACTGTAGATGTGCTGGGTGTCTCTTCTTCTGGGTGCCTGGCAGCCCAGGGTCTGTCCTTTATCCCACTCTGCCTGATTTCTACTATTCCGCCCTTCCAGACCCCTGGCCATCAACCTGACCAACTGCAAGTATGAGAGCGGTAAGCACCCAGCTCGCTCACTTAGAACATCGCGCGTAAGAGGGCACCTGCAGCTTTTACTCTGGGGGTGGTCCCCCAGTCGGGCTCCCAGCCCCTAGATCTTGTTAGGGGGGCCCACAGGCTGTGCTGAGCTATTAGCAGTTGAGACGTCTCTGTTCCAGTTAGTCTTGGTGGCAGGGTGGGACTCTCCACAGTTAGCTGACAAGAACAAAAAGTGACCGGAAGTCACCATTGCCCCACGCTTCCCAGATTTTACCAGAGTTGAGATGAGAAAAGGCTTATACAGTTTTTTCAAGGAAGCTTTTTTGGGGGGGAGGGGAGTCAGGAATTACAAGAAAAAAATCACCAGCTAGGTCAGCCATCTGTCTGTCTCCTCCTATCCCCGTTGTCGTCTATGCAAGGGGCCACCCAGAGTGTGAGATGTGACCCCTGTGGAGGGTCAGCTCTGCAGGTGAGAACCCATCCTAATTGAGAGAGACGGTTGAAGGGAGTAGAAAGCCAGGCTCTAGTTTTGCTGTCACAGATTTTGGAAGGGCCTTGACAGCTTCAGGAAGTTGGAAGTGTCACATGGTAATTAAACTGCAGAGCGGGAGGTAAGAGCCACCTCCATCTTCAACCCACTCTCTGGGGAAGCCTGCTCCTTACCTGGCTCAGCCACAATCCCAAGGCTTACTGCCAGTGCCCAGGCTGGCACCGCTGACCTCCATCTCTCCACAGTGCGTCGGGCAGCTCAAATGTGTGGCCTCAAGGAGGTGGGGGAGGACGAAGAATGGACTGTGTACTGGACAGACTGCTCTGTCTCACTTGAACGAGTCATGGACATGAAGAGGTTTCAGGTACAGTCTTCTGACCCAAGAGCCCAAAGGAGCTGTGGCCCCTGAGTGATTACTTCTGCCCTTCTGCGCAGGCGCCCGAGGCCACCACCCTAATTGTCCCCCTGTGCCGAGCAGGAAAGGCCATGGCTAGGGGCTTCTGTTCCACTGGAGAGTCCAGTGGAATTTCCAATTCTGTTGCAATTCTCCTCTTGGGTTTCTGGAACTTCTGTTATAGGAAGGAAGAGGGGCCAGCTTCTAAGCAGCTCAGCCCATCATCCATATCCACTGAGAGTCGGTGGGGGGCACTTGGGGGGTTCAGTCAGTTGGGCATCCAACTCTTAATTTTGCCTCCGGGCACGATCTCATTGTTCATGGGTTTGAGCCCCGTGTCAGACTCTGTGCTGACAGCTCGGAACCTGCTTGGGATTCTCTCTTCCCCCCCCCTCTCAAAATAAATAAATAAACATAAAAAAAGAGGGGTGTCTGGGTGACTCAGTTGGTCAAGTGTCTGACTTTAGCTCAGGTCATGATCTCGCGGTCCGTGAGTTCGAGCCCTGCATTGGACTCTGTGCTGACAGCTCAGAGCCTGGAGCCTGCTTCAGATTCTGTGTCTCCCTCTCTCTTTGCATCCCCACCCGACTCGTCTCTGTCTCTCTCTCTCTTAAAAATAAGTTAACATTAAAAAAAAAAAGGGACATGCAGGCAGCAGTTGTAAAATAAGCACAATTAACAGCATCCATTGAGGACTTACTGTGTGTCAGACACTGTTTTCATGTTCTTACCTCAATTAAATCCTCAAAAAGAACCCTGAGTGGCAGATACTCTCTTGTTAAGAGGACACCAGGGCTCAGAAATACTAAGTTCATGCAGCTAGGGTGTGGTATACAGCCAGTGAGAGAACCCAGAACCCACGGGAGCAGGTCACCCTGGAAACGTCATATCCTGGGGGTGCCATGACTGAGCTCTTAACTTCCTTTTCTCTTTTGGAAAATGGTTTCTCGTTTGCTTGTGCTCCCACACACCAGTTATTCTTACAGGACTAGTCGCTGGTGGCCTGGGGCATGTTAGAAGGTGGCCAGAAGGCCCGAAGTCCTGGGGAGTCCTTCTCGCTGCCCCTCGTTTCCTAACCTCAGTGTGGACATGTGTTTTAGGAGAGGCCAAGGAGGAGGAGGTTCTCACCCGCCTTAGGGAGCCTTCCCTTTCTACTTTAGGGTATTAGGTACAGTGTGTCCCTCGTCTGTGACTTCTGCCTTGACCTTCCCAGTCCGCCTGGTATGCCCAAGGCTCCAGGGGCTGCCACGCACTCTGCTCGTGGGGGTAGATCACCACGTGGCTCTGTTACAGAAAATCAACCATTTCCCTGGCATGACGGAAATCTGCCGCAAAGATCTGCTGGCTCGGAACCTCAACCGCATGCAGAAACTCTACCCCACGGAGTATGACATCTTCCCCCGCACCTGGTGCCTCCCTGCAGAGTGAGTGAGCCCGGCTCCCCGGGGCTGGGGCTGCCGTGCTGGGGCGGGGAGGGAGGGGATGGTTTCGCCATCTTACTTCCCTCCAGGCTCTGGGCTTGTCACCTAGAAGGTTTCCGCTGGTCAAAGAAAAGTAGGTCTGAGACTGACGCTCCAGGAAGGGCACAGACAGGATAGCAGAGCTGCACTGGGGCCCTGGGATGGCCGCGTCCCTGACCAGCCCCGCTCTGCATGTAGCTACGGGGACTTCCAGTCCTATGGTCGCCAGCGAAAAACCCGCACTTACATCTGCAAGCCAGACAGCGGCTGTCAGGGGCGCGGCATCTTCATCACCCGAAATCCCCGGGAAATCAAGCCGGGAGAGCATATGATCTGCCAGCAGTACATCTCCAAGGTGAAGGGGGCCTCCCGGGCGCCCCATCTCCCGCTGCCAGGGAGGAGGCTGGGTTTTGGCTCCTACGCTTCCTGCTCTTTCCCCTTATCTCGAAGGCCGTGCAGAGCCATGGTTCAGAGCCAGCCGGCCTCGGTCTCAATCTGAGTTTTTCCACTTCTTAGATATGTGATCTTGGGCAATTTCTTTTTGTTTATTTTACTTTTTTAAATGTTTGTTTATTTTTAAGAGAGAGAGACAGAGCGCAAGCGGGATGGGGGGTGTGCAGAGAGGGAGACAGAGTCCAAAGCAGGCTCCAGGCTCCAAGCCGACTGCACAGAGCCCGATGTGGGGCTCATACCATGAACCGTGAGATCACAACCTGAGCCGAAATCAGACACTCAATGGACCGAGTCACCTTGGTGCCCCTCTTTTTTTTTTTTTTTTAAGTTTATTTATTTATTTTGAGAGAGAGGGAGAGAGAGAATCCCACGCAGGCTCTGTGCCACCAGTGCAGAGCCAGATTTGGGGCTCCAACTCACAAACCACGAGGTCACGACCTGAGCCCCAACCAGGAGTCAATCATTTAAGCCACCCAGTTGCCCCAGATCTTGGGCAATTTCTTACCCTTTCTGTGACTCAGTTTCTTCATTTGTTGAACGGGAATAATCACAGTGACCACTTTATGCTTTATATGGTTATTATGACAATCAAATTAGTTGTGCCTCTGAAACACTTAACGCAGCACGTGGTATAGAATGAGCACTTGTGAAGTGTTCTTCCCCAGGCGGGTTTGCGTCCTTTCAGCCCTTCCTCATCGATGGCTTCAAGTTTGATATGCGAATCTACGTCCTCATCACATCCTGTGACCCTCTTCGGATTTTCATGTATGAGGAGGGCCTGGCCCGCTTTGCCACGATGCCCTACACGGAGCCCAGCAACAGCAACCTGGTAAGGGGCCGGCTGGTGGCCCTGGGGGGCAGGGCGGCGCCCTCTTCTCCCGAGTGCTGAGGTTCTCTGGGAACCCAGGTGGAGAGGCTTGTCGCCGTCACCCATGAACAAGGAATGGAACCAGTGAGCACCCTAGTACCTGGCTGAGAGGAGAGCATGTGGGGGGTAGTGGCTGCTGCAAGGTCCTAGGTGGAGGAGGCCAGCACAGCCCCCGCCCCGGGAGCTCCCAGGACAGTGCTTAGGCGAAGAGGGACAGGAGACGCGCTGTTGGCCCGGGGAGGGGGAGGTTAATAAGGCACTGAAGGGCTGGAGAGGAGTGTGCAGGGAAGCAGTCTGAGAGCCGCGGGGCCGCCCTCTTGCAGGATGATGCCTGCATGCATCTGACCAACTATGCTATCAACAAACACAACGAGAACTTTGTCCGAGATGACACTGCGGGCAGTAAGAGGTACTCCCTGCTGGATGCTCCTTAGCCTTTCAGTCTCAGCAGCGTGTGAAACCCAGCTGCCTCACCGGAGGCCGATCCCTCGGGAAAACCACCTTCACAGACCCCTGTCCTATGCTTACCCTCTAAATGCAGCCCTGCCCCCACCCTGAGGACGAAACCCTGCTCCAAGCTGGCAGAAGCCCTTTGAAGTATAAGGCACAGAATTAGGCTTAGCAGTAGGGAGCCTCTTGCCCTCGGCCCCGGCCCCAGGGGTGTAGCAACTGGTCGTCCTCTGAGCACCGGGCCTCACAGGAAGTTGTCGACACTCAACGCCTGGCTGCGAGAACACAGCTACGACCTCCGGGAGCTGTGGGGGGACATCGAGGACATCATCATCAAAACCATCATCTCCGCCCATTCTGTTCTTCGCCACAACTACCACACCTGTTTCCCCCAGTATCTGAGCGGAGGTACATGTGCCTGTTTTGAGATCCTTGGTTTTGACATCTTGCTGGACCACAAGCTGAAACCCTGGCTGTTGGAGGTGAGAGTGAACCTTCTGGGCTTTGCAGAACCAGGGGCCAGAGGTGTTCCACTCAGGGAGAAGCTAGGAGGGCGCTCAGGCCCTGGGACAGAGAACTTTGGCAGCACCGGGGTGGGGAGGAATGGCCGAAGGCATAAGATCCCTACACTCTTGACCTTCTGAGTCCAAGCTTGATGGTCTCCGGCCTCCACCACAGGAATCCGGGATTTGGATCCTAAGGGCTCCTCATGCAATCGTTGTCTTCAGGGACACTGTATCTGTAGAGCCAGGCTGTCTGGGGTGCTCTCACCAGCCTGTGTGCTGGAGGAATCTCCGTGGCATTGTCCCGTGGCCTTGGGCGCCAGAACATCCAGCCTCCTCGGCTGAGGCCCGTGGAGGGGGAGGTCTTGCCCAGACTGTGCAGTCAGGCCTCAGGAGGCCACGGGCGCCCAAGCAGAGCAGGAGCGGGCCAGGCAATGATTCCTCCCGGCAGGTGAACCACTCTCCAAGCTTCACCACCGACTCCCGCCTCGATCGAGAGGTGAAGGATGCGCTTCTCTGTGACGCCATGACGCTTGTCAACCTCCGGGGCTGTGACAAAAGGAAGGTGATAGAGGAAGACAAGCGGCGAGTCAAGGAGCGGCTATTCCAGAGCCACCAGCAGCCACGAGAAGCCAGGTGGTCCAGGTGTCTGACTTGTTTTCTTCGTTATTACTTTCCTGACAGGAAAAGGGGCTTCTTTAGGTGCCGAAGGGAGTCTGGGGGTCATGATGAGCTGTGAAGAACAATTTTTTTTTTTGCATAGATATTACATGACGTATCATAGATAATATGTTTGACATTCAAAAGCTAACTGTGAAGAATCTCTTACTGTTCCCCAGCTACTCAGTTTCCCCCGGAAGAGCCAATCTGTGCCACGTGTATGCTTTTGCAAACAGTTAATGCATACACGCATACGTATGTGTGTGTATAATATATATCTGTATAAGTAAGTAATCTATACAGATTGTTCTCATGAGGAGCTTTTTGGGGTTTGATTAGCTGTTTTTGGTTTCGTTTTTTAATGTTTGTTTATTTTTGAGAATGAGAGAGACAGACTGCAAGCGGGGGAAGGGCAGAGAGAGAGGGACAGGGAAACACAGAATCCAAAGCAGGCTCCGGGCTCTGAGCTGTCAGCACAGAGCCTGAAGTGGAGCTCAAACTATGAGCTCGGAGATCATGACCTGAGCCTAAGTTGGACGCTCAACTGACTGAGCCACCCAGGCGCCCGTATGGGAGTGGGCTCACTACCATCAGCGAGGATGTGAGACTCAAACCCACAAACCAAGAGATCACGACTTGACCCAAAGTCAGACGCTCAACCAACTCAACCACCCAGGGGCCCTTTGTTTTTTTAACAAAGCTCCCCTAGAAAGGTTATAATAATGAAACAGAAAACAGTCTAGTCACTCAATAATAGAGTGTTTAAATCAGTATCTTTCACCCACTGTTGTAATTATAAGATGGGTTACAAACATGGTGATGTGTTGCTGATACTAAATTATATTGTTAATAATACATACAAATGAATTGGAGTGGATTTGGAAGCATTCGTAGAACATTGCTCTTCCCCACCTGCATTGCAATATTCAGGGCCCACGTGGATTTGGTTTGCTGTGATATCCTGGGGCTGTAATGTGTGACTGGAGGTAAATGGAACCATTACTATAAATCCGCTGGGTCTTCTCACAGTGGGACGGCACATGTGACTGTTATGAATTATGTCTTTCAATGGGGAAAAGGGTTGACAACGACTGGACTTAAACAGAAGTACAGTCACAGAATCACTTAGATACTGGGAAGCCATGTAACAATGTTATAGGGTCTCAGTTTTGTCAGAAACAAGAAAGGAAGGAAGGCATCAAGAGAGAGCAAGGTGGTTAGTGGCAAAGCCGGGATTCAGACCCTGGGGTTCTGCCCCTGAGTCCATGCTCGTGACCAATATGCTAACTGCACAGCAAAATTATGGGGAGGTTTTATCTTCTTTTAGCTCTTCTACATTTTCTGTAATTAACATAGATTACTCTGTGGTCAGAAACCTGAAAGACTGTGAGAACTCAAAGTGCTAGCTTACAAGTGGAACCTTTTGTGCTTAACATGAAAACCAACTTCTGGAAGTCAAGCCTAGATTTCCCTGGCTACACACAAGCAGGATTGGCCAGAGGGCCTTGGCAGCTCTCACTACATAGGCAGAGCTCAGAAGGGCCGTGAAGCTAGCAGAAGGTTCTCAAAGCCCTGGCCGGCCTTCTTTTCCCCACTGAACGTTCTCAGAGCCCTCCTGGCTCACTCTGAGCTTGGTTTCCGTAGGCGAGAACAAACCGAGTTGTCGCACGCAGCGATACAGGACCAGGAGCGCTATGAAGACGCCCACCTCGGGGGGTACCGGCGCATCTATCCTGGGCCCGACACGGATAAGTATGCACCTTTCTTCAAGTACAACGGCTCCCTCTTCCAGGAGACTGCTGCTTCCAAGGCCAGAGAGGAGTGTGCCAGGTATTCTGCCTCGCCTTGTCCCCGGTCCACATTGGGCGGGGGCACATTCTGAACCTGAATGGCTCCCAGCAGGGTAGAGAGAAAGCCACATACTTGAGCTAAGAGGAATGGAGTTATAAATTCTATCAGACTCTCAGTAACTCCATTTATGAGGTTTCCCACCTTCCCCTCATTCTTCTCTCGTCCGTCTTCCAGATGGATCACGATTTCCCACCCATCCATCCCCACTTTCCCTCACCCTGCTTCTCCCCAACACAATTTCTCCAGTGTCTGAAGCTGCTGTGTCTTGTCAGGCAGCAACTGGAAGAGATCCGCCTTAAGCAGGAACAGCAGGAGGCCTCAGGCATTAAGAGGCGGAAGGAGAGCCGGGACCAGAACCAGGGGGAATCAGCGGGGGAGAAGAGCCGATCCAGGGCCAGCGGGTTCCGGGGCCATCCCACCTACTTGGCTTACAGGAACCGGAACCGGGAGAAAGAGGTGTTGGGGGAGGGAGGGGCAGAGAGGGGGTTTGGTCGCTTGCCTTTATTTTTTAAAAAAATTTTTTAATGTTTTATTTATTTCTGAGAGAGAGAGAGAGAGACAGCATGAGCAGGGGAGGGTCAGATAGAGAAGGAGACACAGAATCCGAAGCAGGCTCCAGGCTCTGAGCTGTCAGCACAGAGTCTGATGCGGGGCTCGAACCCATGAACCATGAGATTATGACCTGAGCCGAAGTCGGATGCTTAACCGACTGAGCCACCCAGGCGCCCTGGTTGCTTGCCTTTAGCTCTTGCCTTTCGACAGGAAGTGGGGTGGGCCGGCTAGAGAAGGGAGGGAGAGGCAGAGGAGTTCCTAACGAACACATTGGATGTGACCTCGCGGAACAGGAGGTGAGAGAGTGGAGAGCAAAGGGAACCTTCCTCTAGGGTCAGGGGATGGACGGAGGCAGAGTGGGCAGGAGTCCCATGGCCCTCGTCGTTGATGGTCTGGGACTCGCCCTTGGAGATCTTGCATTCAGCCTTCATGTATCTCGTAGTTGCTATCTGTGCACATGGACACCATGCATCCTCAAGCAATCGTGGAAGAGGAGGAGCTGGAGCGGATGAAGGCCTTGCTACAAAGGGAGAATCTCATCCGAAGCCTCGGTATCGTAGAGCAACTCACTCACATGCTGCACCCCAGCCACCGGGGCCAGAGAAAACTCCGCGAGTACCGGGTGAGGGTCCCTGTGCAGCCTCTCACAGAACAAGGGAACGAGAGCTGCACCGGCTCACAGTGGTGGCTGCAGCACAGGAGGCTAATGTGAGGGTGTCTGGCACGGAGCCTGGGAGAGCAGTGTCTACTGGGCGCTGGGAAAGGGTCTCTTGGTTCCTTTTACATTTGCTCCCACACTCCCTGGTGTTTAGTAATAACACCTGGCAAAGCGAAGCTCCTGACCTGCTCATAAGAGACGTGTTCTCTTTACTCCAGTTTTGCAATAGCCCCAAACTGATGACTGACAAATAACAAGGCCACCACCCTCCGTGGCTTCTGTGTAATCTCTCTCTAGCCCTCCCAGTGCCGTGGCTCTAATGGGAGACAGACTTGGGCCAACAGACCGGCCGCCGCGTTCACTATTCCCTGGGCTAGTAGCGAGCCTGTTGGGTCTATTTTTGCTGAGCCCCAAAGGAGTAACTGGCTAAATAGTGGCCACGGCCTAAAAGAGATGTTTCAGTTACCTATTTTCTTCCTCCCGTCCATCCAGCCCCACAAGAAGTGTGGTAAGGGGCTGCTCTTCTCCTCTAGCCTAGATTTCACCAGGACGGGCTGGGCAGTCAAGAACTGCAATCTGTGAGTCTGGTCCCACTGGGCCTCCTGAGAGGGGCTGCCAAAGAGCAGGGCCCTCCTCATTTCCTGCATCCAGTTCGGCCCGTAGAGTTGATCCCAAGGATCTTAGGGCCACTGCCAAGCATGAATGCTGCAATTCCACATCACTCCTGGTGCCACCTACAGCCCAAGAACTTCAACTGGATAGGAGATCCAGCAGCCACCCGCCCCCGTTCATTGTCAATGAAGGCATGTGGAAGGCGCTATTTTTCCAGTGCCAGAGTTAGGCTCGCTAGCCGTAAGTATGCAAACCCAGCTGCACTCTAACTCGTGTGAACTCCCGCTGGCAAACATTACAGCCGGGACAGTCTCAGAACATCACAGGGCACTTCACCAGTGTGGGAACGGGATGGGTAGCGGACCCACTGCCTCCTCCTATGTACTAGACCCTGGGAGAAATGGCAGTATAGTCCTAACACTCAACAAACACAACAGGGAAATGGACATGTAGACAGTTACAATATGGTATGGCAAAGATGCTGGAGGGAAGCAAGGGATGCCACTCCTCTGTGTTGGTAACGGGGCGACAGTTGGGAAAGAGGGGAGTGAATCTCCTGTGAATACCAACTCAGGGGGAACCATGTTTCCACTGCAGAAGGCCAAGCCAGCAGAAGGCTAGAAGCTATAAACAGAGCCCTGGCAGGATCAGTGCCATCCTCCTTAATCCCAAAGCAGGGCTATCGCCTCCAACCAGAAAGACTGGCAAGTAGCTCACGGACTGATTGCACCTTGCCCTCAGCAGTAGACACTGAACACAGTGGACCCAAGGCCCCGGATCTCGCTCTCTGCCCTGCCTCTGCATCCCTGATGCAGCATACCACTGCACTCCTTGACATCAGCCACAAGTAAATGCAGGATGGAAGCCCAGCACTAAACCTCTCTCAGAGAACCCCCTCAGGTTTCCAAAGGCGCAGAGGGCCTTCAATCTTGCTAAAAGAAAGATTGCCTCCAAGCTTCAGATTGAAAAGCCCTGGCCAGGAACCCTGTTTGCACAAGGCAAAACCCGAAGACATCAAGAATTCCTCAATACCCTCAGGTTATTTTCAGATCCGTAGACTCAAAGATGAAGAGGGCCCAGGGCCGGCCCTGTACTCATCTCCGCCCTTCAAACCTTAGCCTGGATTTACCGCTAGGCGACGGGTCTGAACGCTGAGTGCGGCCCGGGGCTGGAGGGCATTCCGGCGACAAGAAGCCCCCTTCCCAGAAGAGCCGAGTGCCCAAGGCACGGGGCAGTCACCATCGGATGACCACCGAGGGGACGCCCTTCCCGCTGCCGTGGGGGAGACAGGCCGGCCTGGACAGCCGTCGGGGCGGAGGGGCGGCTCTTGGCAAAAGACTCCGACTTTTAATTAAAGTTTATGGCGTTTTCCAGGAGCGTTCGCTGTCTCATTCCAGCGCTTGCGTTTCAGAGTAAACGCTCTCCACAGTAACTGCCCGGAAGGCTGAACCGCACGGAGGTCCAAGCCCAGCTGTCACACCCCCAACCGGAAGCGGGAACCACGCACGACCATCCCTGCTTCCGTTCAGCCCGCCCACTTCCGGCCCCACCCCCAGGCTTCCGGGCTGCCGCGGGCTGTGTGGTGTCGGCATGGCGGTCGCTCTGGGCGTTTTGTTGGGCGCGCGTGTTCGTGCTGCCGCGGCTCGCTGTGGTTTCGCGACCCGGGGGATGGCAGACCCGGGCACCCTGGGCCGGGAGCCGGACCCCGACTCCGACTGGGAGCCGGAGGAGCGGGAGCTGCAGGAGGTGGAGAGGTACCGGCTCCTTCCCGGGCCCTCAGCCTGAAGCAAGGGCTTCGCGCCCCCTTGGAGCCGGGCGTCCTGGCGCCGCATCCGCCGCAGCCCTTGTTTGTTACTCGTGGTCTGGGGCGCAGGGGCAGGTGTGCGGCTCCTTTGGGACGACAGGTTTCTTGACCAGTGACGTGTTTCATCTCCCGTTTAGAAAGTTCGGCATGCTTACGGGCTGTTCTAGGTATTCGGTTTCCTGGGAGGTTACAGAGCAGGCCTCAGCCGGCAGTCGCGACCTGGCTTTCCTTGCAAACAAATAGAAGAGGGCCGGGCCTGTGACTTAGCGCGAGGCCCCGCAGCCACCCGTCTTGCTCCCACGCCTGGCTTCTGCCATTGGTTTTCTCCCCCAGCACCCTGAAACGACAGAAGAAAGCCGCCCGGTTCCAGAAAATTCGGAGACAAATGGAGGCTCCGGGTGCCCCGCCCAGGACCCTGACGTGGGAAGCCATGGAGCAGATCCGGTAAGAATCATGGTAATATTTTACTTTTTATCACTTAAGTTTTCTGAATGAAAAGGTATAATAGGTGAATTTCCATAAGCCTGTTATCCAAACTTACTAGTTTGTGACATTGGGACACGGTTCACTTTTGCTGAAATTTTAAAATAGTAAGCTGCAGGCATCACAGCCTTTAACCTCAAAATAGTTAAGTCATCACGGCCTTAAGCTAATGTCAGGGATGGGGACTTACAAGGTTATGTACTTTTTTATGGAGAGCAAATCCGTACCAGAATCTTAGAGATTCCTTTTTAAGTTTGTTTTGAATAACAGTACATTGCATATAGTTCAAAATTAGAACAGTATGTGTACACATTGAGAAGTTTTAATCCCTGCCAGTCTCCTGTGAGATTGTTTTTAATAGATTTTTGTGCCTTTTTCCAGGTTTCTTTATGCAAATGCAAACGAGTATGAATGTAGATTACTTTTATTTTCTTAAATACAAACAGTAGAATACTATAAAATTGTTCTACTCGTTCCTTTTTCCATATAATTCTTTTTTTTTTTTTAAGATTTTATTTTCACATAATTTTTACACCCAACACGAGGCTTGAACTCACAACCCAGAGATCAACAGTTGCATGATCCACTGGCCCAGCCAGGTGCCCCTTTTCACATATTTCATAGATGTTTCCACTTCAGAAGAGAAAGCTCTTTTTTGAAGAAGTCTTAGTAAATCGTAATTTTTAAAAAATTTTAAGTAATCTTTGTGCCCAACGTACAGCTCACCCTCAGGACCCTGAGATCAAGAGTTGCACGCCCCACTGGCTGAGCCAGCTAGGCGCCACGGTAAATCGTAATTCAGTTAACCCGTCTTTGATGAAGTGTGCTTGGGTTGTTTCCACTCACTCGCTATCACAAGTAGTACTCTGATGAGTGTCATTGCGCATACCATCCGCGTGTATTTGTTGTGTACATTCCCAGAAGTAGAGTTGTGTCAAAGGGCAAATGGATTTGCATTTTGATGAATACTGTTCTGTAGCCTTCCATACTTAATGTGTCATTTTCCATTCCCATCAGAGTGACTCTGAAACACTTAGAATAAAGGGGATTCTATAGAGCGAGGAGGTTTGGTCAGCCTGTGGTACTTCTCTCATGTCCACTTCCGTTCCTCTCTGGAACAACTGCTCTTCCTTTTTTTTTTTCTTTAAATTTTTATTTCTGAGAGAGAGAGTGTGTGAGCAGAGAAGGGTCAGAGAGAGAGAGGGAGGGAGACACAGAATCTGAAACAGGCTCCAGGCTCTGAGCTGTCAGCACAGAGCCCGACACGGGGCTCGAACCCACAAACTGAGATCATGACCTGAGCCGAAGTCAGACGCTTACCTGACTGAGCCACCCAGGTGCCCCTCTTCTCTGAAAGGAAGGACAGACTTCACGCACCCCCAGGGTCTAGCTGGGGCCTGGTACGCATTGGTAGGAGTTTAGTTGATGTGAAATAAAAGTGACCTAAGAGTGGTTGGCTGTTGCTGTCGGCATGCAGAAATGGAGCACAGCCATTTGGTGGCACAAGATAGAGACTGTTTCCAGTTTTTCCGAGCCCTCTTCTTTTCACATAAATATCACTGGTATTATCAGTAAGGTTCTCTGATAGCCAACTTTTTCACAACTTGAAAACCTGCTTCTTTTTCCCATAGGTATTTGCATAAAGAATTTGCAGAGTCCTGGTCAGTTCCCAGATTAGCTGAAGGCTTTGGTGTCAGCACTGACGTGATCCGGAGGGTTTTAAAAAGCAAGTTTGTCCCCACATTGGAGCAGAAACTGAAGCAGGATCAGAAAGTCCTTAAGAAACCTGGGCTTGCCCACTCGCTCAGGCAGCTCCCCGGTTCCCAGGATACCTTGAAGCCGCTGTCCCCTAGCCGCTCTGGATCAGGCTCTTTGTTGATGCCAACAGATGAAACCTCATTCAAAGGCTGGGGTCACAGCACAGCTTTGAAAGTGATAGAATCGGACACTCCCAGTACAGAGACACCAAGGAGACAGAAGGGAGGGGACGGAGGAACCCAGGACCTGCAGCAGCAGCGCTCTGTGCCTGTTGCGGCCCCGGGTCACGCTCAGGAGCCACACAGGCGCGCCACCAGTGACCGTGCAGGCTCTAGACGGGCGGACGGTGACAGGTTGCCCGGTGCCAAGAGGCTGGAAGAGGTGAAAACACAGGAGTTGGGTGACCAGAACTTCAGCAGCAAAGTAGTCCAGAGGGGGCGGGAGTTCTTTGACAGTAATGGGAACTTCCTGTACAGAATTTGAGCCGGAGCCTGGTCTGTGGAGATGCCACCTGGAACGCGGCTGGGAGAGCAGCTTTGGAGCTGCCCGGACTTCTGCACATGGATTATCCACCTTGGGATCGGAGGAAACGATGATTCTGGAACATGGAAGGAAAAGAGCTGCTCAGATTTGAATCTGAGGAAAAGCAGTGAGCTTCACAGGGCAGGTGTGTCCGGCAGGGCAGGGTTCATGACCAGCTTGGTAGATTTCAGCGTCCTGCGGCTCTGCTCCTGGTCTGAGCCGTGGGGACCCTCAGTACTCCCCTCCTTGCCTGGGCTCGCTGTATGTTGAAACCAACCCGTGTTGCATGTGTTGTTAGGACTTTCTGTGATACTTGCAGTATATGTTTGGGAAAAAATGAAAAGTTTGCCTTCTGACCTCATTTGCTTCTCGATTAATGAACACTAATAGTTCTGGAACTACTTAGTCAATTGAATGTGTTCGTTATGTGCAAAATAAAGTAAAATGTAGCAGTCTGTGTTGATTGGTGCTCTCTGGGGTGGGAGAGTGAGGGTTCGAAGAGGCAAGGGGTCCCTTGTCATTAAACACTGGGAGAGAGATGGGGTCGGAGGAGTTCGCAGCAAAGGACACTGCAGATGACCCTGCTTAGTAATTGATGCTGACAGCTAAAAATTGGGACATCAGGCCTTCCCTAGATCACCTGGTCTAAAGGAGCTCCTCTTTCCTTCCATTGGTGGGGCTCTGAAACAGATTGGGATGTGGGGGTTTGATCCACTTAAAAAAAAAAAAAAAAAGGAAAAAAAGCAAAGCCAGTAAAGGCTTTTGGGCCTTCGGCAGCATCTCTAGCTACTTTCACAGGCCCGAACAGCAGCTTCGCCATTGTCACCAGGTGTTTTCAGTGGAGCTGTAAGGTGGGGAAGGACATAATGGGCCCCTTCCAAAAATCAGGGGACAGTCTCAGGTTTTTGGATATGCTCAAAGCCACATGGCTGCTAGCGAGCAGCAGAACAGGGACCTGGACGCAGGTCTGACCTTTAGTTCAGGGATTCTAAAATTCAGGAATCCATTCCTGCCTGGCCGCCGGATTTCTGTTAATTTATGGAATCCTTTACAGATACTTCATTATAAGCAGAAAGTGATTTATCAATAGAAAATTGAGTGAGACACATGCAAGCAACAGAAGAGTCCAATGACAGTTTTCAGCCATACCTGTAACAATTTACTGGCAGAAACTGGTTATTCAGGATTTAAGTAAGTGCAGGATGTTTAATGAAAATAATTGATTTTCCAAACCCGTCATTGTGTTCGTGAATCTCCTTGGTATTGATTACAATTAACTTGGGCATTTGTTGAGTTAAACGGCAAGGCCCTATCACCTGCCAATCAAAGTTAGAGAATCCAGGTTCTGGTGATACAGCCGTGGGCAAATAAGGACCTGTTCTCACTGCTCTGCCACTTTCCTATTAATATATTTTTTAAAAAATGTAATACTTATTTTTGAGAGAGGCAGGAGTGCAAGAGGGGGAGGGGCAGAGAGGAGAAGACAGTCTGAAGCAGGCTCCACGCTCTGAGCTGTCAGTACAGCCCAAGGCCAGGCTGGAACTCACCATGAGATCATGACCTGAGCCGAAGTCAGACACTCCAGCTGAGCTACCTACGGGCCCCTCAATATTTTTATGATTAAGAAAAAATGGTAATTTGCCCTTAGAACTAAGATGCTATTTTTAAAATCTATATATTTTTATTTTAAAGAGAGCGAACAGGGGAGAGGGGTAGAGAGAGAATCCCAAGCAAGCTCCAAGCTCAAGCACTCAGTTCAGTGCAGGGTTTTTATCCCACGACCCTGGGATCATGACCTGATCCTAAACTAAGATGTCCTACTGACTAAGACACCCAGTTGCCTTGGAAGATGCTATTTGATTAAACTGGCATTAAAAAAAAATACTTATTTTTGGGAAAGAGAGAGTGTGAATGGAGGAGGGGCAGAGAAAGAGGGAGACCAGAATCTGAAGCACCTCCAGGCTCTGAGCTGTCAGCAGAGCCAGACATGGGGCTCAAACTCAAACCACAAGATCATGACCTGAGCTGAAGTCGGATGCTTAACTGACTGAACCACTCAGGTGCCCCTGGCGTTTTTAACTCCTGTAAATCATTTGACCATGCCCTTTCTCCAGTTGGCTATGGAAAATTAGAAGCTGTTGTGAAAAAACTTTGACATGTTTTCCATTTACCTCATCCTATTGCTTACCAAGCTTAAATCCTTTTTCCATTTTTTTAAATATTTTTATTTCTAGGAGAGAGAGAGAGAGAGAGAGAGAGACAGCGTGAGCAGGGGAGGGTCAGAGAGAGAGGGAGACACAGACTCCAAAATAGGCTCCAGGCTCTGAGCTGGCAGTCAGCACAGAGCCCGATGCGGGGCTTGAACCCACGAACCGCGAGATCATGACCTAAGCGAAAGTCGGACGCTTAACCGACTAAGCCACCCAGGCACCCCAAATCTTTTTTCCATTCTTAAAAATGTCAGTCTAAGATTTCGTCTTTACTATTTCTTTGTCTCCAGATTTTCACAGTTCATTCAAGTCTCAGATGTTACTTTTTTAAAGTAGTTTTTTAATTTTTTTTAAATGCTTTATTTATTTCTGAGAGAAAGACAGCATGAGCAGGGGAGGGTCAGAGAGAGAGGGAGGCACAGAATTAGAAGCAGGCTCTAGGCTCTGAGCTGTCAGCACAGAGCCCGACACGGGGCTCAAACCCACAAACCATGAGATCATGACCTGAGCTGAAGTCGGATGCTTAACCAACTGAGCCACCCAGGTGCCCCTAAAATAATTTTTAAATTTTTATTGTGTGTGTGTGAGAGAGAGAGAGTAGGAGAGGGGCAGAGAGAGAGGGAGACCCAGAATCTGAAGCAGGCTCCAGGTCCAAGCTGTTAGACCCTAATATGTACGATCATGACCTCAGCCAAAGTTGGACGCTTAGCTAACTGAGCCATCCAGATGCCCCTCAAATGTTACTTTCTTAGGCTTTCCCTGACCACCCAGTCTAAAGCAACTCCCTTCGCATTCTGTCGCCACGCCGTGTTGAATCTTCCCTGCCATTGGAAATGGATGGCTACTGTATTGTCATCACATACTTTGCTCCATTAGAACGTAGACCCCATGGGGGCAGGAGACCGGTCTGTGTTCATTGCTGTAGTTTCAACTCCCAACATAGATTTCAGTATTGGTTGAGTGAATGAAGAAATGGTTGGAGAAGCTCACTCATCAGCCGGTCCGCAATGGCAGAAAGCCCTGCCTTTTACCTCATCCAGACCTCGGTCAATAACAAGACCTAAGCTTTCTCCGAGTTGATCAATTCCTGCTCTATTCTGTCAGCATGTCACGCAGCCTAACTCACCAGGACTGCAGTGTTTTGGGAAACTGCACACCCTTCCCCCAACCCAAACTGGAAAGGGGGAGGTGGGATTCACCCAGTCTGTTACACTGGGCTGGGATCATAGGACTCTATTGTGCCCTCTCCCCAGGCAGTTCTCTTTCATGACACGATGAAAGCCATTGACATCACAGCGCATGAGGTGGAGTTGCACTTTGGGGGCGTGGGTGCAGTGTCCAGTGGCGGAAGCAACAGTTGACAAGTCTCTGACCAAGGTGGAGAGAAGGCGGCTGTGGGTGGAATGGAACCTCTCCACAAACATGGGGCCAAGCTCAAGAGGCTAGAAAGCTGCAAACAGGAGGGACTTAAGTCCCTGCGCCCTGGAGGGTATATGTGTCGCTAGTCTTCTCAGGGCAGTTTCCACCTCTCTGCAGATGAGGTTCAATCTCATGAGGGGTGGGGGAGTAGGAAAAGCTCAGTACAAAATACTAGATGAGCTCTTGAAGCCCAATGTGAGCAGAAAATCTTGTTTGATTTTTGTTTAGTCTTGTATTAGAGGAGTTTTCAAGCATATGAAAGTAGGGATGATATTGTAATGCAGTGAACCCAGTGTACTCATTGCTCATTGTTACATTTAACACATGGCCAATCGTTTTTCGTTATCTTGCATACTTGCCCTAGAGCTCCCCCTGGCTTATTTTAAAGAAATCCTAGACTTCGTATTATTTCATCTGTTAAGTACTTTAGTATGTAGTTCGAAGAGATTAGAACTTTTTTTAAATAAATTTTTTGATGTTTTTTATTTATTTCTGAGAGAGAGAGAGAGAGAGAGAGAGAGGGAGAGGGAGAGACAGCGTGAGCAGGGGAGGGGCAGAGAAAGAGGGAGACACAGAATCTGAAGCAGGCTCCAGGCTCTGAGCTAGCCGTCAGCACAGAGCCTGAATTGGGGCTCGAACCCACAAAGCGTGAGATCATGACCTGAGCCGAAGTCAGACGCTTAACCGACTTAGCCACCCAGCGCCCCTAGAACTCCTTTTTAACATAGATACATAAGACATTATTATACCTTAAAACTTTTAGTATTTAAAAAAAAAAACTTTTAGTATTTAATTTCAGCTAATATCCTGATAATATCTCATTGTTTCATAAATGAGTTCCATGGTTGATTTCTTGGGATTAGGATCCAGACAAGGTCCACACATTGCAACACTGCATGATGTGGATATGTCCCAGAAGTATCATATTCTAAAGTGGTTTCTTTCACTTAATTACCCTCAGTATTTAACAGGTTATTTAATCTACATATTTTCTGTATTTTGGATATAGTTTATTTTATTCCTATGATGTCTATTATCATGTCCCTATTACACTCTGTATTTCTTATTAACTGGTTTGATCTTGATCAGATTCCATTTTTGGCAATGAGTGATGCTTTGAACTTCCTACACATCTCACCAGGAGATGAGGATGTGATATTATGATTGATTAGTGAGTGCAGCTGATCTGTCCATTACAATGGCTTCAAAACAAAACAAAACACAAAGCGGATATAGATGATCACCATCACCACTGAAAATTCCCCAATTTCTCTTCCCAGTCAATTCTTACCCCAGAGTCAATCACTTTTTTGAAAAAAAATCTACCATTGATAAGGTTTTCCTGTTCTAGAACTGTATATAAATGGCATCACACAGATGCCACTCTGTATCTGGGTTCTTTCATTATTCCGTTATTTTGATTGTATGAATATACCACAGTTTATGTATCCATTTTCCCACGAAGGATACTGAGTCCACACCCCGGGAGCCGAAGGTCACAGCTGGCGGGACTTAGCTTCCATTGGATCCTAAAGCGTTCCCGTTCTTTTCCCCGCCGCGTCCCATCCCTCCGCGTCTCGCCTCCTGCAGCTGGGAAGCCACAAAGCTCCCAGTGGGCGGCTGTTGGTGTAGATTTGACTGACAACCAAGATGCCCAGTGATCAGGGTCCTCCGGACACCGAGTCGGCTTCGCCCACTTGACTTAGTTCCGAAAATCTTGTTTGTTTTTTGTTTAATCTTGTATTAAATCTAGTGTCCAACCCTCGCTTGAACGAACTGGGAGAATTGGGTGTATCCTTAAAAATTAGTTTAAGACGTCATCCTTGGGGCGCCTAGGTGGCTTAGTCGGTTAAGCGTCCGACCTTCGCTTAGGGCATGATCTCATGGTTCGTGGGTTCGAGCCCCGCGTCGGACTCTGTGCTGCCTGCCAGCTCAGAGCCTGGAGCCTGTTTCAGAGTCTGTGTCCCCCTCTCTCTCTGACCCTTCCCTGCTCACGCTGTCTCTCTCTCTCTCTCTCTCGCCTAGAAATAAATAAAACATTTAAAAAATTAAAAAAAAAAAAAGACGTCATCCTTTTACAACGGGAACCCTCCCCTCTGGCCGAGTATGAGACTGGAACGCTAACGCGTTGCTCCCGCGTTTTCAAATGTCCCTTCCAGGACGCCGTCCCCTTCCCGATACGCTAAGCGCTGGTCGAGCGCACAGGCCTTCCGGGAGGTCTAGGAAGTCGCTCGGCTGTCTGCGAGAGGCGGGGTTCTCTCCGCACGCCGCGGAATACAGCTGAGGGTGTAGACCCGAAACCTGGCGACTGGGGGAGCGGAGCGGGGAGGGGCGGGTCGGTCCCGTGGCTGCTGATCTGGACGAGGGGCCTCCGACGCTGCAGCTGTCTGACCGACAGGTGGCCATTCATTCCGGTGCAGGAGCGGGAGCCCCTTCGGGGGCTCTTTTCGCGCCGTGCCCAAGCCCGAAGGAGCGCCGCCCTGCGCTTACCTTGGGCCGCTGCCCACTGTCTCCGAGCCGAGGGCGTCCCCCTTCTTCCACCCTGCGGCCCCGGCTTTTGCTGCCATGGCATTTCCCCATCGGCTGGACGCCCCAGAGCTGCCTGACTTCTCCATGCTCAAGAGACTGGCCCGAGACCAGCTCATCTATCTGCTGGAGCAGGTCAGTGCCCGCCACGCCTGGGGCCTTTCCCGCATCGACAGTTTGGCGCTCGCTGGACGCGGAGTTCTTCCTTGCGGCTTCCCCTTGATCTTGGTCCAGGCCCTTGGTATTGTCCTTGGAATTCTACAGCAGGTCAAACGTGAAGCAGATAGGGAGGAAAACCAGAGGGCAGTAAGAGCTCCTTGGGTCCTGGCAGAGAGTTCATGAAAGTCTCTTCTTTTTCGTAGAGGCAAAGTCCTATCCCGCATCACTGGGGTTGGAACGATGGTTAAGACACCTTTGTCCTTAGGAGCCCTGTGAAACACACATTACCACATAGGGGCCATCACGTGGTACATGGGTGCTAGCTAGAGTGTCGGAAGCGTTCAGAGCAAGCAGGCATTTCTAGCTGGAGTGGTCTAGGAGTTTCCAGGATTCTAGGATTGTGAAGAATAAGCGTGTTTCCCTTGGAGATGGAGGAGCGTGTTCGAGATGGACTGGTTGGTAGGAGCAAAGTTAGGGAGCCAGGGAAGGACAAGGCATGTAAGGGAAGAGAGCAATCAGGAGTTAGCAGTAGGCCTTAGGCCCTACTGAAGGTTTTCTTTCCCCACCTACCGTGTGAGGCGGTGCTTGAAGACGATTCTCATAGCCACGTGTGGAGGGGGGTAAATGGGCAACAAGAAAAACGCTAGTTAGGAGATGATAGGATCAGGCAAAATTAGTGACAGTGGGAATGAAGGGTAGTGATGGCTTTTTCAGTCATGGCGAAGGAAGACTCAAAGATTTACTGGTTGTTTGTGAAGGTTGAGAGAGAAGCAAAGCTGAGTTTGAGGTTTTTATCTTGTCTTACTTGGAAAATAATGCCGTTGCTGCCGTTGTGGGTTATATGCATATTTGTTTGTTTAATGTCCACGTTCCCCACTAGGTTAGAAGGGTCTTGAGGACAGAGAACACATGTGTTTTGGTCAACACTGTGTACCCAATGAGTATGTAGCCAAGAGTCAAGCAATAGCATGTGCTTAATAAATATATGTATTTATATATATTTAATAAATATATATTTTTAAGTTTATTTCTTTTTAGAGAGAGAGAGAGCATGAGTGGGGGAGGGACAGAGAGGGAGAGAATCCCAAGCAGGTTCCAAACTGTCCGCGCAGAGCCTGACGTGGGGCTCAATCTCACGACCCTGAGATCGTGACTTGAGCTGAAATCAAGAGTCAGCTGCCTAGCCAAGTGAGCCACTGAAGGAGCCCTTAATTTTTTTTTTTTTTTTTTTTGCATGAACACTGAATGGAAATGAATTAGAGGTGTGGGCCGATTAGTTTGGGTTTGGGCAGGGTCGAGTGAAGATGCCAGTAGACACGTCTTGTGACATGCAGTAGGTAGAAATGTGCAGCTGAGGGGACTGTGGGGACTGGGAAGAACCTAGGGGGATCTAGGACCAAATTTTCTATCCCATTCTTAGGTCCCGTAGTGGTAGCACAGTGATTTGCACATAAAAGACGCTCCACAAACGTCTGAGGAATTGAAAAGAGGTGCTGGTTAAAGCCGCCAGTTCAGGAGGGAAGCACACGAAAGTGAGACCAAGGATAGGAACTTGGACATGGAGCTCAGGAAGAGCTGCACACGAGGGTGACCCAACACGGCCGATGCGGGGTTCTGTGCGATAACATCCTCTTCAGACTGATTTTGTCTGACTTCCCGCTTGTTGAAGGGCACTGCTTTTCAGGCTGGAAACCTCAGAAGCGTCTTTGACTCCTCCTCCCTCCTCATATTGAACTGAGCCAGTTTGCCGAGTCCTAAGGATATTTCCTTACACCTGACTTTAAACAGAGATTATGAAATAACACGTGCACAGCATAGAGAAGGTGGAAGATAAGGGAAAGTATCAAGAGCAAAAAAATCAACCTACAGTCCAATGAGCACAGATACAAGTGCTGTTAACACTATTTCTTTTTTTTTTTTTAATATTTTTTATTTATTTCTAGGAGAGAGAGAGACAGCATGAGCAGGGGAGGGTCAGAGAGAGAGGGAGACATAGACTCTGAAACAGGCTCCAGGCTCTGAGCTGGCAGTCAGCACAGAGCCCGACGCGGGGCTTGAACCCACGAACCGTGAGATCATGACCTAAGCGAAGGTCGGACGCTTAACCGACTAAGCCACCCAGGCGCCCCAACACTGTTTATTTCTTTCAAGGATTTGAAAACTCTTACACATTCCCGCTGTCCGTAACCTAGTTTTGTTCACAGCACCACCGGCTTAGATCAGGTCCTCATTCACTACTATACGCTCGGGCTGCTTTCACCTCGCAGGCGGACTCCTTGCCTCTGCTTTCTCATGCCCCCGATCCACTGGACCCACAGTGCCCAGGTTTATCTAACCAACATTTTGCTTCAGGGCGCGAAAGCTTTTTGTTTGCCCTCGTTCTAGAGGATCAGCTCCAAGCTCCCTAACCTCACATCGGGATTGAGGGCTCCAGTCCTATTCCCCAGCGCCCCCCTGCGTCAGGATCGCCCAGCCTCGGGGCCGCTGTCCTTTGGGGCTGGCTCATTGTTGGCTGTGGGACTGTCCTGTGCCCTGCGGGATGTTTTAGCAGCTCCTCTGCCCACTAGATGCCAGTAACTATCCCCCCCCGCCCCAATTCAGATAATCAGGAATGTCTCCAGACACTGCCACGTGGCCCCTGTGGGGCAGGACCGCCCCTGGTTGAGAACCATTGAGCTGCCTGAACCTTACGCATCAACCAAACTGAATCGCTTGTCCCGTCCGTAGCCACTCAGCCTGCTCTCCTTCCCTGGCCTTTGCGGGACTGCTTCCTTAATACATCGCTGCCAACTCCCTACCTATTTGCCAAGGCCTAGTTGAGAGGAAACTTTTTTTTTAAGTTTATTTACTTTGGAGGAGAGAGAGAGAGAGAGAGCAAGCAGAGGAGGGGCAGAAAGAGAGGGAGAGAGTCTCAAGCAGGGTCTGAGCAGTTAGGGCAGAGCCCGATGCAGGACTCGAAATCACAAACCCTGAGATCATGATCTGAGCCAAAACCAAAAATCAGAAACCTTAGCTGACTGAGCCATTCAGGTGCCCCGAGAGGAAACTTTGTTTTTTATTAAAAAAATTTTTTTTAATGTTTATTTATTTTTTTGAGAGTGAGAGACAGAGCGTGGGCAGGGGAAGGGCAGAGAGAGAGGGAGACACAGAATCGGAAGCAGGCTCCAGGCTGTGAGCTGTCAGCACAGAGCCCGATGCAGGGCTCAAATTCATGGACCATGAGATCCTGACCTGAGCCGAAGTCGGACGCTAACCGACTGAGCCACCCAGGCGCCCCATCATGGCCTCGAGAGGAAACTTTTAACAACGTCCCTCACTCTACCACTCAGTGTGAGCTCTCCTTCCCCTGAGCAGACGAGACAGCAACGTCAGGAGTGATGCAGGAATCAGACGGCAGGGGATGGGGATGGGAGAGTAAGTGGGTGGGTGAGGACTGTTCCGGGCTACGTTTTCTGCACTAAACAGGGGTTGTTTTTGTAAATCAGAAGAAAAATCTACTTACAAAGCTACGGCAGTTACTTAAGGGGTTGCCGGTTATGAGGTGGGGCCTTGTTTGGCTTGGTTTTGTTCAGCGGGCGAGCGGGCTTATTGGGAGGCCGGGTGGAAAACGGGCAATGATGCAGAACAAGGTCCTGGGCGAGCAGGAGTGTTGAGTGACAAGGCCTTGACCTTGGAAAGAAGATGAAATAACTTTCCACTGAGAAATGAGAAGACAGACGGGGTGAACATAGAAAGAAACATCCAGCGTGGATATAGACCGTGAATAAGGCGCTGGAGTAGACGATGCCCAGCGCACTCCCGACCCAGCCTGTGCTTTTATTAAGTGGATCACTGGACAGGCTCTCGGCTGAGGGAGCATGTGTGACCTGTGAGTGACTCAAGATACTGTGCCCTTCAGCTCCCAGGAAAAAAGGACTTGTTCATTGAGGCGGATCTCATGAGCCCTTTGGATCGTATCGCCAATGTCTCCATCCTGAAGGTACGCGCCCCTTTTCCCAAGGGACTCGGGCCCCTCTTTCCTCATTAAGCAGTTTTGCTTTTGATGAACAGTACAAATTACCGAAGAGTGACTACCCTACCCAGTAAATACAGGGTAGCTGAATCGGGTGGATGAAAGCGGGTTGATGCTGTTGTTTGGATTGGTTTTGAATTGTTTGATCTTGGGTTGTTGGCTTTTCTCTTTCCTGTTGCCAGTGTGAGGAAAGTTCAGTGGGAAGGCTGTTGGGGAGGCGGTGTGGTCCCTAGAAAGTACGGCGAACAGGAGCCCATACTGAAGTCCCCTTTGCGTTGTGCTTTGGGTTTCCAAGCGCTTACGTCCTTGGTCTTGTTGGCTTCTCTCTGCAGCAACACGAAGTAGACAAGCTGTACAAGGTGGAGAACAAGCCAGCCGTCAGCTCCAGTGAACAGTGAGTGTCCGGGAGAGGCTGTCCGGGCCCCCGGCCGCAGGAGGGCCCCGCACGTCTGCCTCGGTTGGGCCTGGGCCGGGGCCCGCGCCTTGTCTGCGATGTGCTTCGTCTCCCTTTGGGCACTTCCTCCCTCCCTTGTTCTCTTCTCTCTCTGGCCCACTCTGCCGTCTCTAACCAGACTGATCAGTCGTCCAAAACTGTTTCCATTATGCTGCTCACAGGAACCTCCAGGCGCCACCGCCCCCCCCCAACTTACTTACTGACTAAAGTCCAGATTGCCCATCGCAGATTCCAAGGCTCTCTCCAGGGCGCCCCACGCTGCCTTTCCAGCCTCGTCTGTCACTTGTCCCCTCAAGCCTCTGCTTGACACACACGGGCACGTGCCGCCCATCTATGGCCTTCCCCCGCCCCCCCGCCACTCCATTCTCTCCTGCCCTCACTGCTCCTGCGCAAAACGCCCGGCCTTCCGAGCCTGGCCGCACCCACTCCATGAAGCCCTGTGTCGCCTTTCCTGTCCGGGGTGGGGGCGTCCCTCCTCCTCCGCGGCTCCCTGGTGTTTAGTATCTGTCCTTTCCACCTGGCACCTGGTCACACGCAGCCTATTGTCTGGCCTTTGTTTTTATTTTGTTTGTTTTTCCATCTTAGGTAATGTTCATCCTCCCTTAGAGGAAAACACCCCAGTTTGAGAAACACTATCTTACTTACTTTCTTGTATTATTTTTAACACTCGATTATTAATATACTCCATACATGCGTGCGTCTCATTTTGCCCAGTAGATTATAAATTACGGGAGAGCAGGAGCCCCTGGCCCCCTGCCCCCCACCCCTCCCCCGTGCCAGTGTAGCTGCTGTACGGGGGGAGGCTTCTGCGCCCGGTGTGTGGTGGGCCGGGAGAGCCGGCCCGGCTGAGGACAGCAGGCCTGGTGAGAGGAGCAGACGGTGAGAGAGTTCAGTGGTTTCCGTTTCCCCCAGCTGCCATCACCACCGTCATGCCTTCCCCTCACTGCGGCTTTCTGGGTCTTCTCCCTTCTCGCCCGCAGGCTGTGCTTCTTGGTCCGACCCCGCATCAAGAACATGCGATACATTGCCAGTGAGTACGCCACTGCGCTGCGTGTGACCGCGACCTGGGCGGGAGTGGCCAGGATTAAGGGCCTGGGCCATGATGACCTTTTAATAAGAAAAGACGGTTCGAGGGTCGCCTGGGTGGCGCCCTCGGTTAAGCAGCTGACTTCAGCTCAGATGGTGATCCTGTGGTCCGTGGGTTCAAGCCCCGCGTCGGGCTCTGGGCTGACAGTGCAGAGCCTGCTTGGGCTTCTCTCTCCCTCTCTCTCTGCCCCTCCTCCACTTGCTCTTTCTCTGTCTCTGAATAAGTTTTAAAAACCCCACTTTAAAAAGAAAAGATGTCTCAAGTTGGCCATACCACTCGTAGAGGATGTCCGCCTCCTTGTTTCCAGCCTGACAGATGGCCTGTGGCTTTCTGGGCTGCCTTCCTTGTCTCTGTAGGTCTCGTCAATGCTGACAAATCGGCTGGCCGAACTCGGAAATACAAGGTGATCTTCAGCCCTCAGAAGGTGAGTCCGGCTGCCGGTGGGAACAGGCGAAGGTAGATCAGGACGGAAGGCTAGGAAGGGGCCAGGGCCCAACAGCTCTCTCTCCCCAAAGCAAACTGTGTGACTGAACAAGATACCTGTCTTTGTCTTGTCATCAGCGTGGTCCTGGTTGTTTAGTGGAGGGTCTGTCATCACACTGCCCCAGTTAAGGATGGTGGAGTTGTGAGTGGTGGCCTCTGCGTAGACTTCTTGTGAAGTAGAACCTGCTATGCCTCCCTTCCGACACAAATGTCTGTATCGTAAGCTGCACTCTGTTATGGTTTCAGTGACTTTCTTCTTCTGTCCCTTTAATAATAGACAATAAATCCTTACCCTCCCCCACACCCACTGCTCCTCCAAGGCATGTGGCCGGCCGCCCCTGGGCTGCTAGAACTTTACTGGGTACTTTGGAAAAGCCTTTCTTACACAAGAAAGGACCCTTAGAGACCACTTCACTCCACCCCGGCTCTGAGCATCGGAGGGAAGTGAGGCCCGAGGTCCCGCAGTGAGTTAGCGTAACCAGGCTAGGTCTCTTCCACCCTTTTATCTCAGTAAGTGTAGTGTTCAGGGTCCTGCCATAGCTCCTCCGTTTCCTGATTCCATCAGGCTCCGCTCTCACCCCCACGTCAGCAAGGTGCATCGTGGGTACATCCTCGGTCCTACTGATTAGAAGGATCGGTGTGCCGGGTCTTTGCACCGCCTGCCCTAGGCCCTGTAAAGCTGTACCAAGTAGCACACGCTGCAGGTAGAGCAGACAGAAATTAAGGTTGAAAGGACAGGGATTTATTCTCTTTCAAATTTTCCCCCCAAAACTAGAGATAATAGAAGCAATAGCTAAACTAAAATAAAGGCAGAGTGGGTGTGAATCCTTGCTTAGCTCTGGTTACCTGCGTGATCTTGGACGCGGCACTTAACTGCTCTGTGCCCCAGTTTTCTCATCTGTACGAGGGAGTTGATAGTAGTACTTGCCTCTTATTTTTTAAATAACATTAACAGGGCTGAGCATTTTTACTTTTTATTATTTTAATTTCAGTACAGTTAACATATAGTGTCATTAGTTTTAGGTGTATAACACAGCGATTCACCAATTCCATACGTCACCCCGGGCTCATCACAAGCGCCCCCCACCACTCCCCATCGCCTGTTTCCCCCATCCCCCCACGGTGACCATCAGCGTGTTGTCTGTAGTTAAGGGTGTTTCTCGGTTCATGTCTCGCTCCCTTTTGTTTTCCCTTTGCTCATTTGTTTTGTTTCTTAAATTCCACGTGTGAGGGGCACCTGGGTGGCTCAGTCGGTTAAGCATCTGACTCTTGATTTCAGCTCAGGTCTTGACCCGCAGGTCGGGGTGATTGAGCCCCACATCAGGCTCTGCACTGATAGTGTGGACCCTGCGTGGGATTCTCTCTCTCCTCTCTCTGCCCCTCCCCCGCACGCTCTCTTCCTCTCTCCTCCCCTTAAAAATTAATAAATGAACTTTAAAAGATTCTACGTATGATTCCAATCATATGGTATTTGTCCTTCTCTAACTAACTTCTCTTAACATTATACTTTCTAGATCCATGCATGCCGTTGCAAATGGCAAGTATTTACTTCTCTTAATTTAAATGACTTTCAATTTTTGTTATGAAATCTAGTGAAATCACAGGCTTATATTGTTTTCCTATCATGTGAAAGGAATAAGAAGAATCAGTGATCTTCCACTGAAGATCATTTGAAGATTTGTAGAACAGTCTTACAGCTACTTACCCTGTTTAGAAATACACATATATCAAGTATGACATCATTACCAGGGCAAGAAATTATTGAGTATCATAACTATTCAGAATTACAGGCTACTTTTCAATGTTATTAAAAGAACTATGGCAATAAATTCTACCTTTTGGAGTCTTACAAAACCTCTTTTTTCAAATTATCCTTCCATGGACAGATTTGTTTAAACAAGGAATAGAACAAGTCGGTAATAGTTTCAAATAGTCCTACAAGCCTCCCTGTTACACAGAAAAACAAAATTGGTATTTCAATGAATCTTGTCCATCTCACATCGCAGCTTATCAGGTTCTTTGACCTAATTTTATGTCACTGGACCATCTCTCCCTCAGTTTCCGTAGCAAAGATGTCTCTCTCTCTTCCTGAGACTCCTCTTGTTAATTATGAGGATTGGCAGGTTTCGAATTCTAACAGTTAGCCCTCTAAGTAGGCCTCCAGTTTCAGGTGTACTGACAGATGAGTGAGGGATGGGGGGCCTGGCTGGCTCAGTCCATAGAGCATACAACTCTTGCTCTTGGGGTTGTGAGTTTGAGCCCCACATTGGCGTAGAGCCTACTTTATTTTTTATTTTTATTAAGAACATTTTTTTCCATGTTTATTTATTTTTGAGAGAGAGGGAGAAAGAGAGAGAGTGCGTGAGCAGGGGAGGGGCAGAGAGAGAGGGAGAGACACAGAATCTGAAGCAGGCTCCAGGCTCTGAGCTATCAGCACAGAGCCCGATGCGGGGCTTGAACCCATGAACTGCGAGATCATCACCTGAGCTGAAGTCGGACGCGTAACTGACTGAGCCACCCAGGCGCCCCTCGCCTTTTCTATTTCTGAGGCGAGGTCATTCCCTTCCTCCCACATCCGTCTTCAGAACTCACCCTTCGGTGACAGCTGAACTGCCTTCTCCTTTGTGGAGTTTTCCAGTGTCTCGGGGAGAGAAGAGCGCTGGACTGAATACATAAATAAAGGGGATGAAGGGGAAACAAAGCCCCGGGCTAGGTGGTCCCAGGGTCCTCCCTGTCCCTCAGAGCCCACGTTCCCTTGTGGCCGCTGGGTTCAGAGAAGAAGGTGGTCACCAGCCACTCCCTCTTGCCTTGCAGTTCCACGCGTGTGAGATGGTGCTGGAGGAAGAGGGAGTGTACGGAGGTGAGAGGAGGCGACTGTGAGTGGAAACGGGGAGCACGAAGAAGGCCCCCTGTATCTGCCTGTGGGCCTGGAAGGAGGGGAGGGCCTGACAGTGGGGGTCGGATAAGGGCCCTTAAAGGAAGGCTGAAGGGGATGCCAGGTGCCGCCATTCCTACCTTCTGAGACAAGGAGAGAGTGTGCCTTCCCTCCTGTGAAGCCCCCTCCCTCCTGTGAAGCCCCCTCCCTCCTGTGAAGCCCCCTCCCTCCTGTGAAGCCCCCTCCCTCCATTCTGCTCGCCCCTCTGCTTGACCTGAGCACAGTGCTCCCAGCCGGAATCGCCCCTGTGCCAGAATCCCCAGGGGCCTCCTTGGCCTGTGGTTGGTCCCTCCCCTCCCCCTCCCGTGTGCTGCTCCCTCCTTTCCTCCAGCCATGGGCACTTCACACATGCTGTTCCCGTTGCCTAGAATGTTCTTCACGCTCAGCTTTTTTTTTTTCCCCCCATACCCCAATTTTACTCAGATTCCAAGCTTAAATGTCGCCTGTTTAGGAAGTGTTTCCTCTACCCTGGCACCCCTGTACGCTTCCCGGGCCCCTGTTGTTGAGGATCCATCCCCAGTCCTCCTGGGTCACTCTGCTAGCTCAGTGGGGGCACAGTTGTAAAGAGGTGTGTCCGGTGCGTTGCCACTCCACTGGGATTCTCTGGCAGAAGATGGGGAGCATGTCTGTTTGGTCCCCACCGTACCCCCAGTGCTGCGCCTGTGTGGCCACCTGTCGGTGTCTGTCCACTAGGGAACGAGCGATTCCTCTGCATGTTGGTCGGCGCTCTCGCGCACACCCCCCCCTTATCACGTCGTGTGACGGGCTGTGGTGGCTGTGTCCCTTTTGTTATCAGACCGCAAACTCTTCAGGGCACCAACTATGTCTTGTTTATCTCTGGGTGTCCCATGCTTCGTGCCGTGCTGGGCATGTGGCAGCCGCTCCGAAATTTCCGCATGACTGCGGGCACTGACCTCCTCTCCCCGCGGAGCCCTGTGCCTTCCGGAGGGAGGCTCCCGCTCTCTGTGCCCGCAGACGTGAGCTGTGACGAATGGGCCAGACTCACGCTGTCTATGCCCACAGATGTGAGCTGTGACGAATGGGCCTTTTCTCTGCTGCCTCTTGACGTGGATCTGTTGAGCATGGAGCTCCCAGAATTTTTCAGGGACTACTTCCTGGTAAGTGCAGGGTCCTTGGGTCTTGGCATTGGCAGGTGGGGACACACATGGAGTCCAGTGGGCTACAGGAGGGCTAGAAATACCGAGGGAACCTTCATCTAACTCGGGAGACTGATTTCCAGAAAAATGCTACCAGTTGATGCCCACAGGACTTGCTCTGGGGTCAATCCGAATGAATGCTTTCAAGCAGCCCCCGCGCCTGCCTTCCTGCCCTGGCCCCCCTCCAGATGGGTCTGTTGGGGGGGCCCATATCTCCGTGGCCCATATGGCCCCTGCAGGAAGGAGATCAGCGTTGGATCAACACCGTGGTGCAGGCCTTACACCTCCTCAGCACTCTGTACGGCCCCTTCCCTAACTGCTACGGAATCGGCAGGTGTGCCAAGGTGGGCATTGGCGGTACTGTCCCGACAGCCCCCCTCCCGCCCGTCCTCTCCCCACCAAGGACTGCCCATGGGCATGTGTGACAGAGGTATATTCTTTAGCTTCGTTTCCTTGTTCTGGAATGGGTCCTCAGAGAGGAGGACTTATGTGGCTAATGGAAAGGCCAGAGCCAAGGCCTCTGGGGTAGCACTGCTACGTGTCTTCCTGCGGGGCAGGGACCCTTCCCCATCGACATGGGGAGGGGCGAGGGGTGGGAACAGGCGTGGGTGCAGGAGGCCGTATTGTTAACAATTAGTTTCCCTCCTGGGGTCAAGGAGAGGTGTCACATGGAAAAGAGTTGGCTTCAGTAGGCGCGGGCTGTCGCAGGGGCCCGGACAGAAGACTAGGGCTGTCCTGGTCCCCGGCAGATGTCATATGAATTGTGGAGGACGCTGGAAGAGGAGGAAGATGGCGAAACCAAGGGCCGAAGGCCAGAAATTGGACACATCTTCCTCCTGGACAGAGGTACGTTACGCTCAGCGCTCCCGTCGTCTTTGACCCCCCGGAGACATGGGGGTGTGGTGACAGTGGCGGCCCAGCTGGGATCCTCGGGTTGGGGCTGTGAATGCCGTCGCTGATGGGGAGCGTGGTGCTTGGGCCCTGTGGAGGCACGGGAGCTGACGCGGGGTGAACCGGGTAGGCGCGTGGGTCCGGGAGGACCCTCATGGTTGGGGATCTCGTTTCAGACGTGGACTTCGTGACGGCACTTTGCTCCCAGGTGGTTTACGAGGGCCTGGTCGATGACACCTTCCGCATCAAGTGTGGTAAGTGGCGTCCAGCAAGATGGAGGTGGTGCTCGGCAGCCGGGGCCTCTTGTGCGGGGCAGGGCTGGTGGGAGAGCCCCAGACTCGGAGCCAACTGCTGCCTTCCAGATAGTTCAGGGACTCTTTTTTTTTTTTTTTTTAAATATTTTTATTTATTTCTAGGAGAGAGAGAGAGACAGCGTGAGCAGGGGAGGGCCAGAGAGAGAGGGAGTCACAGATTGAAACAGTCTCCAGGCTCTGAGCGGGCAGTCAGCACAGAGCCCGACGCGGGGCTCGAACCCACGAACCGCGAGATCATGACCTAAGCGAAAGTCAGACGCTTAACCGACTAAGCCACCCAGGCGCCCCCAAGTTCGGGGACTCTTAATGGCAGTTCAGGGAAGGGTAGCACAGGGAAGGCCTCACTGGAGGTCCTCATAGCTGCTCCCTCTGCTCTCAAAGGGAGCGTCGACTTTGGCCCAGAAGTCACGTCCTCTGACAGGAGCTTAAAGGTGCTGCTCAATGCTGAGGACAAGGTGAGGGGATGGGTGCTGGCTGTGGGCTTGTGCGGGCCGTGGGCCCCGGCCCTGGGAGGGGAGGCCGAGCCCGTGGGAGAGGATTCCCCACCGGGAGCGAGCTCAGCCCGGAGCATAGAGCTGGCATTTGACGTACACTTAGGAGACGGGCTCAGCGTTCTCCGTGATTTTGCTAGAACAGCTGGGTGCTGCTCTCATGCGTTCCTCACACCCTCCCGAGGGAGGACGGGCTGGTTAGGGGCGTCTCTGTCGTAAGTCCTTGCCGTCTGGTTCCCCTCGCAGGTGTTCCATGAGATTCGTAACGAGCACTTCTCCAATGTCTTTGGCTTTTTGAGCCAGAAGGCCCGGAACTTGCAGGCTCAGTATGACGTGAGGCCCCCTGTTCTGTTTCCCCAGTGGCTTCCCAAACCTGCTGCCCTTCGGCTCCCTTCTGCTAGGACGACAGCCCGCCGCCTTTTCTCTTGCGTCGGTGGGATCTGAGGGAGGGTGGGGACTGCTCAAGGCTGAGGGTCGGGAGAGGCTGACGTCCCGGGATCTTCCCCCAGCGCCGGAGAGGCATGGACATCAAGCAGATGAAGAACTTCGTGTCCCAGGAGCTCAAGGGACTAAAACAGGAGCACCGCCTGCTGAGTGTCCGTAGGTTTCAGCTTGAGGGGAGGGTGAAGGGGGTGGGCGCTGCAGAGATCTCTCTCTCTCCTGGGAGAGGAGATCTCTGTCCACCCAGTACACAGTGATCCTGTTTTGTCTGAAATGGAAAGAAGGGCTTCTGCATTTCGCCTTAGAAGTGTTTTTTTTTTTTTTATACTTCTATAGGCTTAATGGCAATAATGATTACAATTCTAGATTATTTTATTACATAGTTAAAGTGCCAGGTATTATTCTAACTGATTTATATGCATTCTCTCACATAATCATGTAACTGCCTCCACCACGGCCAGTAAGAAGTTTGTATTCTTCTGGACAATAAAGGCATGTCTCTGGAGAATCAGGAATACATCAGCTTGCTTTTTTGTCCCGTCTGCAGATATCGGGGCCTGTGAATCCATCATGAAGAAGAAGACCAAGCAGGATTTCCAGGAGCTCATCAAGACGGAGCACGGTAGCTGCGGCGGCCCTGCTCGGCCCCTGCCCGGGCTCTGGCTCCCCTCACCCCCAGTCCCTTCCCACCCACCGGAGATGCTTCTGGCTCCTTTCGGCCGATGCTGGCTGTGTGGGCCGCTGCTTCCTGGTAGAAGTCCTGGGGGTCTGTAACCCACCCCAAGGATTGAGGAAGATGGGGAGACAGACACCTGTGGGCACAGATGGCAGCAACTCCCCCCTCTACCCCACCCCCCATAATGAGCTCCCCTGTGTTCACTCACAGCGCTGCTAGAGGGCTTCAACATCCGGGAGAGCACCAGCTACATTGAAGAGCACATAGACCGGCAGGTGAGCAGGGGCTGGGGTTCCGGCACGGCGTCGCGGTGGGGTTGGCCCCAGCCGGACGAAGGGAGAGAAGAACGTCGGTCACGACACTTGACTGTCTTTGACTCTTTCTTCCCACGTAGGTGTCGCCGATCGAGAGCCTTCGCCTCCTGTGCCTTTTGTCCATCACCGAGAACGGTGAGCCCCTGGGGTCGGGGGTGCCAGATTGCCCACCTGTACCTTAGCCGTGGAAGAAATCATGTTGAAGGACAGAGACGAGTGTCCTAGCGGACAGAACGTTTTCCAGTAATTTGGACTCTTTCCCTCATAAAATAAAGCAGTTTTTGTTCTGAGTGAGACACCCCAGGTCCCGATGTATCGTCCTGACCTGAAGCAGGACCACAGCCAAGCCCCCAGGGCAGGCCCCGTCACATCGGAAGACTGCAGAGGCTTAGCGCACAGGGACCTTTATTCCAGCCGGAATGAACCTGCGTTCAACGAGGTTTCATAGTAAAGATACAGTCCAGGAAAAGGGGACAAACAATTTCATAAACATTCCAAAAGCTCTGATTCTGTGGCCTTTTATGGCAGACTTTTAAGCTGCTTATGCAGACTTTTTGCCTGTTTTTTTTCCCAGTTGGAAGTATAGTTTGCACACGATGTCACGTTAGTTTCAGGTGTACGGCACCGTGTCCACAACGCTGGGGACCCCACAGGGGCCGCTACTGCCTGTCACCACACAGCGCTGTGACAGTGTCGTGGACTATTCCCCGTGCCATTCATCCCCGTGACTTACTCACCCTGCGGCGGGAGGCGCCTTCCACTCCCTTCACCCTTTACGGCCACGGCCACTCATGTTTACTGCGAAGTCCTCCCGGGGGACACTGGTCTTCAAGGCTGCTCTCCGCGCCGAGGAGTGGTTTGCTTATTCTGCATCCCCTGTGATTATGGTAGTTGCAAGCCCATTATCCCTACCTCCCTGGAGGGAAGCGTGTCGGGCTGCACTTTCGGACCTCATCTGGACATCTGTCCTATTCCTTGGCAGCAGTAAAGTGGTTCACAGTAGCGCTGGCCCGACGCCAGGAAGGAACGCACACAGGGGCCCCTCCTCCCTCCGCCCCCCTGCGGCCTTTTGCCATCCCCGCTGGGAGCAGCCTGCGCCCCGGTGCCAGCGTCCCTCCCTTGGCGCCCTGGTGGCTCAGGGCTGTGCCTTGGAGCTCTCGGATCCAGGCTCTGCCTCTCACTGAGCAACTTAAGTTTAGGAGTCAGTTTAGAATTGACCTGATAGGATGCGAGGTTAACATTTACTGATTCCCTTTCTCCTGATTAAGGGTTTTTTTGGGGGAGCAAGAGGGTGGTTGGGTGGTTTGGCTGTAGACGTCAGGACACTTCGGCTGGTGTTGGCACGAGCCTGCCCTCTCTGCCCTGCCAGGTCTGATTCCCAAGGATTACCGATCTCTGAAAACACAGTATCTGCAGGTGAGGCCAGGAGAGTGTCCTCTGGGGGGAACTGGGTGGAGGGGGGTCACGGCACGTTCCTGAAAGACACAGAGTCGCCCCTTTCCTGTCTGCGTCCCCATCTTGTTCCCCGTCTGGCCTCCCTCTTAGAGCATCTCGGGACAGTCACCTCGTGACACGTGGAGACCCTCCCCCGCCCCGTCCCTCTGACGCCCCTGTCCCTCCCACGCCCCTGTCTCTCCCATGCTCGGTTCTCTTGGGTGGCCCGTGCTGGGAGACCCGGAGCCACAGAGCCGAGCCCCCACCCCGAGGACTCTCCCTCACTTTAGCATCTTGCAAGGCGTTAATACAGCTTTCCCTCCAGGTCTTTCTCTTCCAGTCTCTCCTCATCTGTGGAGCCCTTCCCACCACCCTTACATCAGTGGCCTTCTCTGTTCTCTCACAGTTTTGTGCTCTTGTGCCTCCTTTGTTTGGTGTTTGGTTATTTCTTCCGGGCACAGGATGCCTGACCCTTCTCTGCCTCACGTCTATACCACCCAGCACCCTACGGTGTGGCGTGTGGTGGCGTGTGGGACGCTCAGTGAATGGCTGAATTGCATTTCCTTCAGAGCTACGGCCCCGAGCACCTGCTGACCTTCTCCAATCTGCGGCGGGCAGGGCTCCTCACGGAGCAGGCCCCTGGGGACACCCTCACGGCCGTGGAGAGTAAAGTGAGCAAGCTGGTGACGGACAAGGCTGCAGGTGAGCCGGTGGGGGGGGGGGGGGCGGGTAGCCCCTTCCTTGCCCCGGTGCCCTCTGCTCGCAACAGTCAGCACCCGGGAGGGAGCGAATGAGCCGGGGGAGGGGAACAGGATTCTGCATGCTCACTGTCATTACCACTGCTTCTGCCGGGAGCAGGGGCCACGTACTGACCCCTTGCTGAGTGCTCAGACCTTTAGATAACAGTTTCTCAGTCCTCACAAAGTAAGTTCACAATCTCCATTTTATAGATAAGGAAACAGGCTCAGAGAGGTCATGTGACTTGTTCAGGGTCCCTCAGTTAGTCAGTCAGCTTTGAACCCAGGTCAGTTTGACTCCAAGACCCGCACACTTAGCCAGTAAGCCCTGTGGATCGCGATTAGTAGATAGCTGGCACCCACCGTGGTGGGGAGAAGGGTGGGGAATGTGTTGATCGGGTCCAGGGGATTCTAGGTGAATGGCTTTGAGGAGGGTCTTGAGAAGTGAGCAGTCCGCCATTTGTCATTTCCTAAGCGCTTCCACCTGTGGCGTGTCATAACCCCCCCCCCCCCCCCCCCCCCCCCCCCCCCCATAGACCTTAGATGAAATCCAGCACAGATTTCCTTCCCAGGGAAGATTACTGATGCCTTCAGTTCTCTGGCCAAGAGGAGCAATTTTCGTGCCATCAGCAAGAAGCTGAATTTGGTACGTAGGAGCAGGGGGCAGGGCAGCTGAGGGTCCAGTCCTTTGTGGGGTGCTCTGGATCCGCTGAGACCTCCCTGTTGTTCTGCTGTTATAAAGATCCTCTGTTTGGTAGCATTACAGTATGAGCTTAATTTAATAATGAGACAAGACACGGGGCACCGGGGTGGCTCAGTTGGTTAAGTGTCCGACTTCAGCTCAGGTCATGATCTCGCAGTTTGTGGGTTCAAGCCCCACGTCGGGCTCTGTGCCGACAGCTCTGTGTCTCCCTCTCTCTCTCCCCCTCCCCCGCTTGCACTCTGTGTGTGTCTCTCTCTTTCCCCAAAAAATAAACATTAAAAAAAATTAAAAGTAATGAGACAGGGCACAAAGATTTATTCACTTAAACATGTAACAAACACCCACCAATGTCGGAAGAAGGCTGAGTGCCACATCAGTGACAGGCATGTCCCGTGTCACCAGGAAATCAGCAAAGGGGCATCTTTTTTTCCAGCTCTTCCTAGGGAGCATGGGGAGCTCATTAAGGAGAACCAGGGGCTACTGAACAAAAGCTTTAATCTTTGGTTAACGAGTCTTTTTAAATTTTTTTTTTAAATAGGGATTTTGCTGGTTTCCCCTTTAGTTGCAGTAAGAACTGTTTGGGGGGATATACTACTTTTCCCTGACCGCGTGCATAAAGGGCTGGGCAGACAAGTTGTCACATGCCTCACGTAGTCCCCTTTGCCCTTCAGATCCCACGTGTGGATGGTGAGTATGACCTGAAAGTGCCACGGGACATGGCGTATGTCTTCAGCGGCGCCTACGTGCCCCTCAGCTGCCGAATCATTGAGCAGGTGAGGACAAGCCACCTGCTCCCGTTCATACCTCACGCTCTGCTCTCTCTGGTCCCCCGGCCTGTCCCGATAACTAAGGAGAAACGTGAGGGTCGCTGCCGCCCCCCTCCTTTCCTCACACTGTCTCAGGCTTGAAGCGGTGCCTGTCTCACCCCCCGCCCCCAGGTGCTGGAGCGGCGGAGCTGGCAGGGTCTGGACGAGGTACTGCGGCTGCTCAACTGCAGCGACGTGGCATTCACAGGTGCGTGGCATTGACCGCGTGGGCGGGGCGGGGCCAGGAGGGCGGGGCGCGCGCAAGGCACGCGGCGGCTCTGATCGGCTCTTTACCGTCTTCACAGACATGGCCAAGGAAGACAAGGCTTCGAGCGAGTGCCTGCGCCTCATCTTGGTGGTGTTCCTGGGTGGCTGCACGTTCTCTGAGATCTCAGCCCTCCGGTTCCTGGGCAGGGAGAAAGGTAAGAGGGAGCACAATGGGATGTGGGGGACAAAGGGCAGTGCTCAGGAAGGCTTGTCGCCAGGCCCCGGGGCGCCACTCGCTGAGTCCGGCTGTGGGCTGGGTGGCAGGGCGCCCTTTCCACCGCGCGGGGCAGCTCGTCGGGCGCGAGACCGTGGCTCGGGCCATCGGGGTCTGATCCAGCCAGGGCTGCGGAGGGAGGGCTCGATGTGGCCGGTGCTGGGGGCCTCCAGTCTGTTCTTAGTCACGGATGCCGGTGCTTTTGACTCCCTAGGGTACAGGTTCATCTTCCTGACCACGGCGGTCACCAACAGTGCTCGCCTTATGGAAGCCATGAGCGAGGTGAAGGCCTGAGGCTCTCCCTGCTGGGGCTGCCGTCTGTCCGGACGCATTTCCCGAAGGGCTGCAGGAATTTGGTCCCAGCTGCTAACAGAGTGTCCACCAGCCACCCTACGCAGAGCTGGGGAGCACGGAACTTGTTTGGGATTTAGCCAAAAGTTATGTAAGGAGAGTGGTCACCTCCTGCCCCCGGGGTATTTCTCTTTTTTGTTCAGGAAGTACAGCTCCTGCTGAAAAGACAGGAGGAGGAGGAGGGACCTTCTGCTAAATCCTGTTTGAGGATCATTGTAAATAAAGCCTCTGCTCCCAAATGTCATGTTTAGTTCTTCCCGTGCACCTCCATCTTCTCAGTGGAGCACAGCAGGGCTTTCCACGGGGTTCGTGTGTTCTGCGGCCTGGATTGTGCAGTCGCTTTGGGCCGGCCTGGCGCTCCCCTGAGACCTGCCCTGTACCAGAGTTTCCCCAACCATAAAATGAGGGGGATGGATTAGACAGGTGATCAGTAAGCACCCTTCCAATTCTAAAATTCTGTAATTCATTATTCTTCCTTCCTTCCTTCTTCCTCCCTCCCTCTTTTCCTTCCTTCCTTCCTTCCTTCCTTGAAACTTCGCCCAACGCAGGGCTCGGACTCATGGCCCCAAGATCAAGAGTTGCATGCTCTACCAACTGAGCCAGCCAGGCACCTCTTGTGATTCATTATCCTTTTAGAAAAAACGTGTCCATTACTTTTTTAACCTAAGGAGACACTTCACTTTTAAGCATTCGTGTCTTATTGCAGAGTGAAAGCTCATGTCCTGTTAGATCAATTGCAGGCCTTGCAAGCGGTGCTTCTAAAAAGGTCAGCAGTGCTCCCCAACTGATGATTTTAGTGGCCTTTCTCTCCCTTGACCTTTTTTGTTTTTTTAAAAAGGTTTATTTATTTTGAGAGAGAGAGCCCATGCTTGCGAGCAGGGAAGAGGCAGAGAGAGAGGGAGAGAGAGCATCCCAAGCAGGTTCCCTGCTGTCAGCGCAGAGCCCGAGGCAGGGCTTAAATCTCACGAACCGAGAGATCATGACCTGAGCCGAAATCAAGAGTCAGATGCTTCACTGACTGAGCCAGCCAGGCTCAGCATTTAAAAATTGTGAACTATTGGGGCGCCTGGGTGGCTTAGTCGGTTAAGCGTCCGACTTTCGCTTAGGTCATGATCTCGCGGTTCATGGGTTCGAGCCCCACATCGGGCTCTGTGCTGACTGCCAGCTCAGAGCCTGGAGCCTATTTCAGTCTGTGACTCCCTCTCTCTCTAACCCTCCCCTGCTCACGCTGTCTCTCTCTCTCTCCTAGAAATAAATTACAAAAACTATTTAAAAAAATTTTTTTTAAAAATTGTGAACTATTGGGGCGCCTGGGTGGCTCAGTCGACTGGGTGAAGCGTCGACTTTGGCTGAGGTCATGATCTCGCAGTTTGGGAGTTCGAGCCCCACGTCGGTCTCTGTGCTGCCAGCTCAGAGCCTGGAGCCTCCTTCAGATTCTGTGTCTCCCTCTCTCTCTCCCTCCTCCACTTGTGCTCTGTCTCTCTGTCTCTCTCAAAAATAAATCAACATTTAAAAAATTTTTTTTAAATTGTGAACTGTAACCACATCTAGAAGTCTCTTTTCGGCCCTCCTCTAACTTAACTTCACTGCCAATGGCCTTTCCTTTCCCCTGTTCAGCTTCTGTGATGCCCTCTTGTCTTCCTGGGGTCTCCTAGATTGTGCTTCCGTCTCCCTGGACGACATCTCTCTGTCTACCCCTGTCCGTCCTGTGTTGTCATCCACTTCCAGATCCCAGGCTTTCATCTCCCTGCTGAACTTCACACTAGGATTTCCAGCATGTTCTCTCCACAGGCGCTTCCAAGCCCACATGTCTAACATAAGCTCTCATGGTGAACCTGTCCTCGTTTCGAATCCCTCCATCTGCTCCTTGTCCTGTGATCCTGTCATTGACATCCTCATCATCTGCCCAAGTTTTGTTCATGCAGAAAGTTGTATCCTTGACCTCAGATGCTTTTTTTTTTTTTTTTCAGTTTTTAATGTTTATTTTTGAAAGGGAGAGAGTCAGAGTGTGAGCAGGGGAGGGTCAGGGAGAGAGGGAGTTACAGAATCTGAAGCAGGCTCCAGGCTCTGAGCTGTCAGCACAGAGCCCGATGCGGGGCTCGAGCTCACGGACGGCGAGATCATGACCTGAGCTGAAGTCAGATGCTTAAGTGACTCAGCCACCCAGGCGCCCCTCAGATGCTTTTCTTTTATCCCCCGCACTCAGCTGGTCCCATTACCCATTAGGACTTAAAAAAAAATTTTTTTTAAGTTGATTTATTTTTGAGAGACAGAGAGAGCATGAGCAGGGGAAGGACAGAAAGAGGGAGACACAGAACCCGAAGCGGGCTCCAGGCTCTGAGCTGTCAGCATGGAGCCTCACACGAGGCTGGAATTCATAAACCGTGAGATCATGACCTGAGCTGAAGTTGGGCGCTTAACAGACTGAGCCACCAGGAGCCCCTCCATTATTTCCCAAAGCTTCTGGCTCATCCTTTCCCCACTGACCCCCGGCAGAGATACTTAATAGTTTTTGCCTGAGGTTTTGCAAGACTGTCCCTTCCAGTCACTCTGTTTCCTATCTGTTCCCCAATTCACAGTGCTGTCACTTACCAAAAGAAAGCTCCAAATCCATGTTGTTGGATCATCAAAACTATTCTTCTCATAGAAGAATGCTATGTCGGCGCATATTCCAAGGAAAATGCATAACTCAGGTACCCAGCTAGAATTTTTACAGGGCCATGTCAAGCCAGTATACAAGATCAAAGACACTGTGGACAGGGCGGTTTGTAGAAAGAATATGTGGTGGTTAGACAGTGAGTCTACGGCCAAGGGAAAAGACTGTGGCACTGCACTTACATTCTAGAACATAATTGTTCTAGAACAGTGCTGTCCAACAGAAATATAGGATCTTGTAAAAAGGTCCTACTTAAACGCAGATTACACAGTGTTTTACATGCTGAGTACATGCTCTGGTTATCTTCCAATGCTTCTATGACTTTGTTGGCTTCAGAATTACAGTGTAAAGGACTGTACAAAACTGTACTGATACCAAAACTGTCTCATCTCTGGGTACTTATGATGCCAGCCCTGGCATCATGTCTGAAGATCACAAATTTTTGAAACTATGAATAACTTCCAAGCTAATCAACAAAGAGTGCAAGTAAATTTAATAAGTGGTGTCTAGGGACACCTGGATTTACTCCGTGGGTTCAGCATCCGACTCTTGATTTCAGCTCAGGTCATGATCCCGCTGTTGGTGAGATCAAGCCCTGTGTTGGGCTCTGTGCTGGCAGCCAGGAGCCTGCTTGGGATTCTCTGTCTCCTGTCCCCCAATCTCTGCCTCTCCCCGACTCGTGCGCACTCTCAAAAATAAATAAATACACTTTTTTAAAAATGTGGTGTCTGTGGTTCGCTCCATGAGCTGTGTGAATGTCTCGTGTGCTGCGGACAAGGGATAAAGAAAGCACAACTAAGTTCTGAAAGCGAGAGAAACACGGTCCTGCCCACGAAGCAAACACACATCCATTACTTTTTCTCCATGTTTGGAAAAGCAAATGAAAAGGAGTCTACGGATGCCCAATACACGCAGGCAAAATGTGCACTTTCATCTGTAAGTGCAAATCAAATGAGGAAATGACAGTCTCTGCCTGTGAAACTAGCAGAGATTTAAATAACAGTGGGTGGGGCGCGTGGGTGGCTTAGTCTGTGGGGCATCCGACTTTCAGCTCAGGTCATGATCTCCCTGCTTGTGGGTTCGAGCTGTATGTCCGGCTATGTGCTGACAGCTCAGAGGCCTGGAGCCTGCTTTGGATTCTGTGTCTCCTTCTCTCTCTGCCCCTCCCCCACCCACACTCATGTGGTCTCTGTCTCTCAAAAATAAATATTTAAGAAATTAAAAATAACAGAGCTGTGGAGGGTGAGAGGAGGGTACACTTCTGGGGAGACTGCCATCATGGGAAGGGAGCATTCAGTAGACCCCCTTCTAGGAATCAACTGTAAGAAAATAAAGCAAGATGCAAAGATTTATGTATGAAGACATTTGTAAAAATTACAATCGAAATAACCATCGTTAGCAAAACAGTTGAATTATGAGAGCTTCCCATCCACAGTATCATGCAACCGAATCACCGGAAGCAAAGCTATATATTAGCATTTACGGAGCCCAAAAAAAAAAAAAAGGTTACAAAAGTGCTTTGATGTCCATTTTGAGGTCTCTTTTAAACTTTATTTTGAGAGAGAGGGAGAGAGAGCAAAGGAGGGGCAGAGGGAGAATCCCAAGCAGGCTCTGCGCTGCCAGCACAGAGCCCAAGGTGGGGGCTCGAACTCCCAACCATGCGATCATGACCTGAGCCAAAATCAGGAGTCCAATGCCTAACCAACTGAGCCACCCAGCTCCCCCGATTTTGTTTTGTTTTTTTCTAGGAGAGAGAGAGAGAGAGAGACAGCGTGAGCAGAGGAGGGTCAGAGAGAGAGGGAGTCACAGACTGAAACAGGCTCCAGGCTCAGAACTGGCAGTCAGCACAGAGCCCGAAGCGGGGCTAGAAACCAAGAACCAAGAGATCATGACCTAAGCGAAAGTCGGACGCTTAACCGACTAAGCCACCCAGGCGCCCCCCGATTTTGAGTTTTAAAAGTTTTTATATAACTGTATAAACCCCTGCTATTTGAAAGAACCACGCCCAGGAGATCTTCATTTCTGTGCCGCTCATGTGACCTGGACGAGCATCTCAAGTCCTTCAGAGACTCTTCTCCTGCGGGAAATGAGAACACCCAACGGCGCTGTCCTGGGAATTAAATGGGGTCACCGTCTAGAAAGGTGCCGGCTCGTGAGCGGGGTGCAGCGTTCCTCCCCTTCCGCGGCAGGGCACGGCTGCCACTCGCGGGGAAGGCTGCCACTGAGGATCAGCTCCAGGCTCGCCGTCCGGACGCGCGTGGGAAACGAGTTAAAGTTAAAGCGCTGAACGCGCTCCGGCCCCTCGGCCCCCGGCGGTTCTCGCCCCTTCTCGGCGGCCTCCAGGCAGCGGCGCGCACTTCGAATCCAAACTACCGCCGGGACGGGGCGGGGCCGGGGCTCGGCGGCTGGACGGGGCGGGGCCGGGGCTCGGCGGCTGGACGGGGCGGGGCGGCGTCTGGGGGACGGGACTCCTGGCTACCGCGAAGCTAAGAGAGGCAGCCACGCACCTGCGAGACCCGGCGCACGCGCAGACAGTGACCCCAACCCAAGCAGGCGAGCGAGAGCTTCCCACGCCCAGCCCAG